TGCGGGATGGGGGAAGCCACTTGCTTCCCGGCTGCCGGAGAGACTGGGAAACCAGGGCTGCGGGTCTGGAGCAAGGACCACGGGAATGATATAAACCCTGCACGCTCCTGCCCTCGCTTGGGATCTTTCCAGAGCCCTCATGCTGTGCCCTCACCCCTTCTTTCTGCCCCTCACCGCAGGAGATCCAGGCGTACCGCCAGCGAAGCCTGATGGAGAAGGAGCTGCTCTTCTTCAGTTACGACGTCTTTGGCATCCCCTTTGTGGACCCAGTGAGTGCTGCTGGACCAGGCTGGACACAGTGGCCAGATGGAAAGGGGATGAGAGGTCTGTGTTCCAGCCAGATGCTTGTCCAACTCCTGATGTTGTTGTTCTTCTGGCTGCAGGACACATGGACACCTGAAGAGGTGATACCAAAAAGGCTGCGAGAGAAACAAAAGTGAGTGCTCTCCCAAGCTGCTGGCCAAGCCTACCCAAGAGGGGGACCGATGGGATGTACCCCTCTTCCTCCACGGGGTTTGGGCCAAAGGCCATGGCTGTGGAGCTGCTGTCAGGGAGGTTTTTTCATGTTGGGGCTGGGAGATGTTGCTGGAGAGCAGAACTTTGCTCTCCATCAGCCCTTGGGGTGATGGCAATGTTTAGGTCATCCCAAGCAGCTCGGGGTGAGGGATGCATTGAGATGACCCTCTCCAGCCTTGGGCTTTGCCACCATCCCCTGGAGATAACTTGTCCTGCCCTTGTCCTGGTGCCCCTCATTCCCAACGTGGGGACAGTGGGGCAGTGAAGCTGATGGCTGATGCATGCCCAGGGTGGAGCGGGAGACGGCAGCACGCATCTCAGAGGAGATCGGCAACCTTATGAAGGAGATCGAGACGTTGGTGGAGGAGAAGGCCAAGGAGTCTGCTGATATGACCAAGTTCATCCGAGAAGGTGTGGAGGGCCAGGAGGGGAGGTGGGATGGGGACTTCCACGTCCCCCGCTGCTAGCTCGCTGTCCCTCCACATGGCTGGTGGCAGGACCACAGCTTCCCCCAGGGTTGGTGGCACCCACCTCTGTGTCCTCCTGCTCCTGTTTGTGCCACAGGTGGCCCCTTGGTGTACGAAGGAGCCAGTGTCACCATGAACTCCAAGGCCCTGAACGGCTCCCAGCGCGTCGTGGTGGACGGAGTCCTTTCTGCCGAGGAGTGCCGGGAGCTGCAGAGACTCACCAATGTGAGCGTGGGGACGAGAGGAGAGGGCAGGGATGGGGCAGGGGATGCTGAAGGGTCCCAGCCTGCGGCTCAGAAGTCAGACCGGTAACGCTGATTGTGTTTTGCAGGCAGCTGCCTCGGCCGGGGATGGCTACCGTGGGAAGACATCTCCACACACTCCCAGTGAGACCTTCTATGGCGTGACTGTTCTCAAGGCCCTCAAGGTTATGCTGGCTGCGGGGAGGGGGGGAGAAACAGGCTGTGGAGACCAGGGAGGGAGGGTTTGAAGGCAGGCAGCTGCCCACGCTGCCTGGGGCTGAGCCCATGTCCTCTCCATCCCCTGCAGCTGGGCCAGGAGGGCAAGGTGCCCCTGCAGAGCGCCTACCTCTACTACAATGTGACGGAGAAGGTGCGACACATGATGGAGTCCTACTTCCGCCTGGAGGTCCCGCTCCACTTCTCCTACTCCCACCTGGTGTGCCGCACGGCCATTGATGGTGAGCGTGGCCTCGGAGGAGCACAATCCAGGGAGAAGCAAGTCTCCTTCAGCCTCTTGTCCTGTCTGGGTCCCCTCCAACAGCTAGGGTGGGCTGGTCTTGGACCCTTCCTTGAAGACCTCTTTGCTGTTCCCTAACCTGCTCGTTTTCCCAAAAGGAAGGTGTGAGGGAGCTTGTCCCTAAGCCTGGTTTGGGAAGATGCCCAGCTCTGTCGGTTGCCTCCGACAGGGCAGGTGGCTTCATGCCACGCAGGATTTCAGCACTCGGAGGCATTTGGGATCGGGCGCTGGGAGAGGCTGTGTCTGGAGGGCCATGGAGGTGTCGTGGGACAAGTCAATGGTGGCTTGAGCCACCCGAATGGCCTTTCATGGTCCACACTCCAGCAAGTGGAAGGGCTTTAGGCTACAGGTGACTTTCTTGTCACCTCCAAGCCTGTGACATATGGGGACAGACCTTGGTCCTGCAAGGTTAAAGGGGTCCTGACATGCCAGGTCTCATTCCACCCTAGAGAAGCAAGAAGGCCGGAGGGACAACAGTCACGAGGTGCATGTAGACAACTGCATCCTCAATGCGGAGGCCCTGGTGTGTGTGAAGGAACCTCCAGCCTACACCTTTCGGGACTACAGGTACTGGTGGTGTCTGTCAGCCAGAGCTTCCCCACCTGAGGGCACCATGGCTTGGTGGCACCTGGGTTGGGAGGAACAGGGTGGGAGGACAACCCAATCTGGGCTCTGCTGCCTCTGGATCTTGCCATGGTGTTGGGAGAGCTTCAAACTCCCCTTTTTGCTGGAGCTGTGGTGATGGTTGTCACCTCTGTTTGTCCCCTGCTTCCTTTAGTGCCATCCTCTACCTCAACGGAGACTTTGAAGGAGGAGCTTTCTACTTCACCGAGCTGGATGCCAAGACCGAGACCGTAAGTAGCTCAGCACCGTGAGCACCATGTGCAGCACCAAACCCAGCTCCTGCCTGTCGACCCCAACCCCTGTGCCACGGCATGGGATGAGGTTGGGATGGGGGGGACAAGCTCATCCCCTCACTCACCGGGTGCATCCTGACCGGGGTCTCCCATCCGTTGCAGGCAGAGGTTCAGCCACAGTGCGGCCGTGCCGTGGGCTTCTCCTCCGGTTCGGAGAACCCCCACGGGGTGAAAGCGGTTACCAAGGGCCAGCGCTGCGCCATCGCCCTCTGGTTCACCCTGGACCCTCGTCACAGCGAGCGGGTAAGCTCCCGCCCCAGCATCGAGTGGGTTTTTTGAGGGGGGACAGTGGCCACGCTTATCCCCGTGGGTCTGCCCCGCAGGAGCGCGTGCAGGCCGACGACCTGGTGAAGATGCTTTTCGGCGCGGAAGAGAGGGATTTGCTGCAGGAGACAGAGGTGGAGCAGGAACCACCAGCTGCTGTCGTGGTGGGGAAGGATGAGCTGTGACGTCCCCCGGTGACCAGGACATCCCTGCCAGGACCAGTCACACCAGCATTGCGGCTTCAGGCTGCTCAGCCGAGGGGCTGCCAGACAGGACCCCCCCTTTCTGCCCCAACTGCCATGGGCTGGGGAACTGGAGGGTGCCCTGCACCACCCCTGTGGCATCCAGCATCCCCCTCTGCCGAGCTGACCTGGGGGTACCACAGAGACTCTGGGGGGTAGCAGAGGGGGCAAGGGAGGGATGCTTTTATAGGGGTGAGGACCCGGTGCCACAGTAGCAGACGTGTGCCTTTCTGCTCAGCTGAACCTGCAGCTATTTAAGTGCCTTCTGCAGAAAATGGGTGAATAAAGGCAATTTTTTTTTTTTTTTTTTTTTTTTTCTCCAAAGATGTTGCTTGCTGAGCGGAGGGCTGGAGGCTGCCACCTCCCCCCCCAACCTTGACTGTCATCCTGTGTTGGGACGCATCCTTCTCTCCTTGCGAACATTTACCCTGAGGGTTTTGCAGCCCTGTAAGCCTAGGAAGGTGTTCTTTGGGGACAAGGGGGACTTTTGGGGGGGCAAGCATGTCCTTTGGGCCCTGCAACCTCTGCATAAGCCCCATAGCCTCCCCTGGACTCCGCTCCTGCAGCGTGGGAAGGGACCCACAATTTCAGGGAGGAGGGAACCGTCCTTGAACAAGAAGGACATTGAACACCGTGACACCCCCCGAACAGGGCATCGAATTGTTCCCGCGTGTGTCTGGCCCCAGCTATTACCATAACCATCTGGGGAATGTGAGTAAATAAATCCTGCCCCACGCCGCCGGAGCTGGGCACCCCCATAATATTTGGAGAGGGCGTAGGGCAGGTCCCCGTTCAGCGTCGGGGCGGGAGAAGGGGGGTCCCGGGGGCTGGTTTCTCCAGGATGGATGGATGGATGGTCCTGCTGGTGGTTGCCCACCATCCCGGTGTCCGGCCCCGGCCGGCCAAGCGCGTGAGCAGACTGCTGATGAGGCCAGGGCGGTTAACGATTGCCAGGTCCTGGGGCTGCTACTTGCTTGGTGTCACCAGGGCGGTGGCACATGTCCCCTCCCCACCCTGTGTCCCCTTCCTGGGGGGGGGGGGACGGGACACACGCCACCGACAATGGTGCCTCTTGTTGATGCCGCGGGGGTGTGCCTGGATTCCCCCCGGGGAGAGGCAAGGGTCAGGCCCAGCAGTGGGGGGGGCACGACCCCCTTCCCTGCTCCTGTGCCAAATTCCTGGAGCCACCCCCCCCCAAGGCCTCTGTGGCTGGAGGGGGTGTCCTGGCCCCTAGCAGGGTTGCAAGGGGTCATGGATGGGGTGGGGGCTCACCTGCCCCAGCTCCCTCTTTTCCCCCCATTTTCCCCAGTTCCCTGCACTGTCAGCCAAGGGGTCCCCATCTCCCCCAAGACCAAAATCTCCCCATTAGCACCCAAACACTTCAAATCTTTCCCCCCCCCGCCCCCAATACCCACTTCTTCCTGCCAAATCTTCCCCCCCCAGCCCCAAATCTACCCCATCCAGGACACATATCTTCCCCCATCCATCCCAAATCTTCCCTCCTTAGACCCAAATCTTGCCTGGATCCCAAATATTTCCCCCCTCCTCCCAAGTAGCCAAATTACACACACACATACACACCCCCCAGGACACAAATACTCACCCCAACCCGAATCTCGCCCCAAATGTCCCCCCACTCGGACCCTAATCTCCCCCCTCCCCGATCCAAACCCCCCCCCCCCCCATCCCCGACTTCTCCACAGCTCCTTTCCCTCCCCTCCCCCCCCAAGCCGTCGCGTGCCGTGCCCCCCAGGGGCGTGGCCGGGGGGGGGCGTGGCGTGGCGTGGCGTGGCCGTGGCGGGGCAGCGCGGCGCGGCCGGGCGTGAGGCGGCGGGGATGGGCGGCGGGGCGCGGGAGCTGGCCGGGTACCTGGCGGCGCTGGGCGGGTGGGTGGCGGCGCTGGCGGCGGCCGCGCTGCCGCAGTGGAGGCAGAGCTCGTACGCGGGGGACGCCATCATCACGGCCGTGGGGCTTCACGAGGGGCTGTGGATGAGCTGCGCCGCGCAGAGCACCGGGCAGGTCCAGTGCCGCCTCCACGACTCGCTCCTCTCCCTCGACGGTGAGTACGAGGGGGGGGGGGGGGGCCCTGCTTCCTCCCGTGGGACGGAACCCCCCCCACCTCCCCTCCGTGGCTCTGAGCTCCCCTGTGTAGCTGAGCCCCTCCGTGGATTTGAACCCCCCTGCGCTCTGGGTGCGAGCCCCTCTCAGTGGGTTTGACCCCCCCCCATATGGGTCTGAGCCCCTCTGCGGGTCGGGGTCAGCCTCCCGTGGGGCTGAGCCCCTCGATGGGTTTGAAGCAGACCCCCAACAGTCCGCACCCTCTGTGCCCAAATCCCCCTGTGGCTCTGAGCCCCCCCGGCCCCTCCGGTGGTCTCACACCTCCTCAGCCGTGGCTCTGAGCCCCTCTAATGTGCCTGAGCCCCCCTCAAAAGGGTCTGAGACTCCTTTTCCCCTCCACTGATCTTAACCGCAATGTGGGTCCGAGCCTCCCCCCTCCACCCCATGGCTCTGAGCCTCTCTTGGCCTCCCCCTTTCCCTCCCTGAGCCCCTCTTGTTCCCATGAGTTTGTGTCCCTTTGTGTGGCTGAGACACACACACCCCCCCAGCCCCTGTGGGTTTGAGCTTTAGGGTGGGCATCATGTTTGGGGACTGACAGTGCCTCATGGGGACGTCACAGCCCCCAGGGCTGTGCATCACCCTTGTGGCATTTGGGGACTGTGGCGTTGCTGGGGACAAGGTGTTTCCCAGCCTGGGAAATCGCAGCGAGGATGAATGTGGCAGGGAGGAAGGTCAAGAAAGGCCCCGGGAGCGGTGCCCTGAGTGGAGCTGAGGTCTCCCCATCAGCCGTGCAGGGAAGGGGTGACACGGGAGCCACACAGCAAAGACAGGGTTAAGGACAGGTTCATCCTCAGCGTGGGATGAGGTGACCTTGCTTTGCTTTTGGAGATCTGCTGGGGCTGAAAGCACACGCTGGCAAGCAGCTTTTCTTCCCCACCCCGCCCTGTTGCAGTTCACATCCAGACTTCCCGGGCTCTCATGGTGATTTCTCTCCTCCTGGGCTTCTTTGGCATCATTGTGAGCGTGGTGGGCATGAAATGCACCAAAGTTGGTGAAGAGGATCCCGTTACCAAGAGCCGCATCGCTGTTGCTGGAGGTGTCCTCTTTGTCCTCTCCGGTAAGGCAGCTCCAGCCTTTGCCCCTCTCTGGTGCAGAAGACCTCAAACACCTTTTAAAAGCTGTTTGATGGAGGAAGGGGAGAGATATGGTGATGGGCTGGGTGTTCGTCGTTTGATGTCTAGTTGAAATTGTCCCTGTCCCTGCTCGTTGCGGTGGGGTTGGACTACATGACCTTTAAAGGTCCCTTCCAACCCAAACTGTTCTATGATTCCATGTCCAGGTCTGTGCACGTTGGCTGCCGTGTCCTTGTACGCAACACAGGTGACTTACGAGTTCTTCAGAGAGAGCACCGTTCCCATCAACGCCAGGTAAGAGCCCGGTGTTGGGGATGCTCTTTATCTGAGCTCCATCTTGTCCCTGCACTTCCCATTAGGACCTTTCCTTGCTGGTTTTGGCAGCGCAGGGGGGGTTGTAGGCTGATGTGCCACACAGGGTGGGAGCTAAGCCACCCCACAGCTGCCACATTGCAGAAGATCTCATTGCTAAAGTTTTAGTACCACCACGCCAGCTTTGTGCTGAGACAGAATAAGAGCACCCGTGGAGTTTCAGCCCAAGGGAGGATTAAAGCTTGGGGAAACCGAGTAGCTGGATCCAGCCAACAGGGAAGATGGGGAGGGCCAAAGAGAAGAAAAACCAACATCTGCCTCGATGTCACCCATAGCGTCGTCAGGGCTTCGAGCGTCCTTGTGCCCATCTCTGCCTTTTCTGCCACCCCTCCCTGATGCTCCCCTCTGTTTATTGCCGCAGGTACGAATTCGGCTCGGCTCTCTTCATCGGCTGGGGGGCCGCCAGCCTCACTGTGCTGGGGGGCTCCCTCCTGTGCTGCTCCTGCCCCGCCAAGGAGCAGCGAGGACAGCAGTACTACCGGCAGTCGCAGCCTTCGACAGCTCGGGAGTACGTCTGACCCCTAACCCTGCCCTCCTGCCCAGCGCCTCCCTCCCCACCCAAAACCAGGCAAGACCCTGGCACTCCCACCCCACCTGGTCCCTGGATGCCCCATCAGACCTTTCTTCTCATCATCTCCCAGGTTTCAGCGCCATTTGCAGCGCCATCCTCTAAAATAGGAGGGGGGGGGGTTGGGGTCATAGCTCCCGTATCCATCAGTGCCAGGCTCCCCCCAGCCAGGCGGGTTGGCCCCCCCGGGGTGGTCAAGATTGTGGGTGGCTGGACCGTGTCCGTCTGTCATGCAGATGCTCCGGAGCAGCAGGATGATGCTGGGGGAACGATGCTGGTCCCACGGGGGTGTGCTGCACAGAAGCGCTTTGTGCTGTGACACCTCCCTCTCTGCATCCTGGTTTTGGGAACAAGTGGAGAGCGAAACCAGTGCTGGGTTTACCCGGGATGAAGCTGCTGCTCACTCACCTCCATCAGACCCAGCCCATCCCTGCGCCTCGCTTTTGGCAGAGGGATGCTTTCAGGGTGCAAGCATTCCTCTGCCTCATTGCTACCCAAAAGCAACAGTTTTTTTAAAGGACTATTAATTCTTGATTTGAGTCCAGTTGCTGGTGCTCCAGCTGAGCTCTGCCAGCTAAAATCTGCCCTGGGTTTATTTCTCACCAGGCACAAACATGTGGCCTTGTTAAGCAGAATAAATGGCATTAGGCAAATTAAAGCAGGCAAAATGGGGGCTTTGAACTCAAAGCAGAGGTTTGTTTTTATTTTTGGTGCCCAGCACAGCTATTTCGGGTAGCAGATGGTCAGACCCATGAATTTTGATGCTTCCTCCTGTGTCCAAATCCCTCTTCCCCCAACAGGATCCCCTGGAGCAGGCAGTGAAGTCTTCAAACGCAGACATGCTAATTGTCTCCACCTCCTTGTACCTCGTATCGACCGCTACTAACTGCTCTGCAAACACCGTAGCTCCAATTTCATACATAAATTCCCCAAAACCCACCGTACTTCCATCCCTCCATCCCTCCATCCCTCCATCCATCCATCCATCCATCTTGCATATGCTATGACACCTAATCTGCAGGAAAAAACAGTGGAAATGATCCAAAGAGCTTGATCATATATTTTTTATTATTGTTATGTGGTTTTTAATCCTGATTAGCTGAAGTAGCTGATTTTTTACATTTGATTTTGCTCTGTTTTATTTTTCTATATTTTATTTCATTTCTCTCTCACACAGGACTAACAGCCCTCTTTCTCTTTTAAATTGCAGACCCCCTGTAAAAATGTCTTCTTCACCCATCAGGGGAGAACAGTGCTTATAGTCTATCTTCATCCATCAGGTGCTTGGTTGGCTGAACCCAACTTATGGGGTTCCCTTCCAAAAATGCACACCAAAAACTACTGCAGTGAGGATTGAAAAGGAAACTTGTGCCTTAAAAAAAAAAAAAAAAAAAAAATCAATCAAAAAAGCATTTTTATATCAAGAGCACAGCACTGTGTAGAATAATGTTTTTATTCTTTTAATTGCATTAACTTTTCTATGGGATGCATGGCCGTGGGAATGGGACTGGTTGGGATTTTTAAATACATTTTTTTGCTGATTGTTTGTACTAAAAATTGTGACTCAGTGGTATTAAAATATTTCCAATCATGGGCATCTTTCTAAAATCGTTTCTTTGTTCTCCCTGCTTCCAAATCTGGGCCAGTCCCCTGCAAGTGACTCCTTTGCTGGGTTGAAGCAACTTCTGCAGCGTCGTCCAGGCAGGAGATTCTCCCCCGTGCTGAGTGGTTTTTGTGCTCCTGGGCAGGTGCTAGCTAAATATCTTGAGTCTTTTGTCATGTGTTGCCCTCGAAGGGGGCATGCGGCCTCAGAAATTGTTTAATTTAAGGCTAAACCTATGGAAAAGCCAAGATGTCCCATGCAGCAGGGTTGCACCCAGCACCTCATGCTTGTAGCCTCCACTTGGTCCCTCTGCAGGTTTCTTCACAAGACTGAAATGCCACCAGCATTCTCCTCTTATTGCCCCTCCTATGGACCCTCAGAGCTGGGCTCTCCTTTATTTTGCCCCATTTTCTGTGAATTCAGAGATGGGTTGTGTCTAATTGGGCACTTTGCTAATTTAAGCCGATTTTTGCTTTTCCCCATGGAGGGGCAGGACCCCCCACCCTGTGATGCTGTGCCTAGTTTTCCTTGGGGGATGATGCTTTCCAACAAGGTTTTTTCACAGCTACTGTCTTGTCTCGGCATCCTTGTCCTGCCCATGGCACCTGGTCCACAAGAATGTCTCGTTCTACCTCAAAAACCAGGGATTTGGGGTCCACAGTGGCTGCCGTGACATCTCCACGGGTCACCCGAGGGCTCCCTGGGGATGGATTCCTGGCTGGAAGCATATCAAAGAGGGGGTTGGGAAAATAGCTGAGCAGCAATAACGTGCTCAGGGGTATAAAGGCCCCCACTGTCCTCCAGACAATCCCTCGTGTGTTTTGTGCAGGGCAAAGCGGGATAAAATATGGGAACGGGATGCCAGGCTTGCTGCAATACGTGGGATCTGCCTCCATCCACATCGCATCCAGGCTAAAACTTGCTTTTTTCCCCCCTCAGCACACTTCTTCTACTTAGTGAAACCAGTATGTTGAACAATATTTAGGTTTCTGGTCATACCTCTTGCTTGCATCCAAAATCCTGTGAAATAATACTCATTTTTAAATAAGCAGAAATGAGTGAAAAGGGAAAACTACTCCCCAGATGCCAAGATCACAGAAAATCTCACTAAGCTGCCACAGCTCTGAAATTACACAAGAATAATAAAGTAAAAAAAAAAAAAAATCAACTTTTTCATTAAAAAATTATATATATATATTAAAATAATTTAAAAATCCTTTTGAGTGCCCCTTATTATATTTAGCATGAAGATGTTTCTCCGGCAGCCCTGCCCTTGGCCAGGGGCCCGCCGCTGGTCTGCACGCAGAGGGACTTTTCTCATGTCTCTGAGCTGTGACTGTTTTAATTCAGTGGCAGTTTTATTAATTTTTATTCATTTGTATTCGTTGGCCTGTCCCACCAGCATCTACAGAGTTCCCTCCACCTCTACGAGATGGTCCCATCAAAGAAAACCTCTTTAGTTCTTTTTGTTTTCCCTTCCAGCCATGGCAGGTTTCCCCTGCACAACATGTGCTAAAGCACAAAGATTTGGGTCTCCTGTCAGCATAATTTTTTTAACACATGGTTTTTACACACCTAGTGGGACACAAGATCCAATTTTCACCTTCATTAACCAGGGAAATTATCTTAATTATTCAACTACTGACAGAGCTGCCCCTCTGCCTGCATCTTTTGCACACCCCAAAAGGATTCAATTGATAATTGAAAAGGCAGATTAGTTTGATATATAATAAACTGTTTAGATAAGCAGAGAATAAAAATAAACCTATTTTATAGGTGTCACCAGGGCGTGCAGCTGCAGTTCTGTATTGCTTGGGGTCACATCAGGATTTCACATAGATGTTCAGGTACCATTAATTCCTGAGATGTACATGTTGGAAAACGAAGGTACACAAACCCTCCTGGACGTTTTCAGCACTAATTCATAGCTACATGCAGAAGAATTGGACCTGCCATGCGTCAAAATCCTGGGAAAACAGCATAACCCAAAATAAAGCCATAGCAATCACACATGTCAAGCACCTGGGTGCCTCTGCAGGGCTGAAGCTCAAGGATTTGCCAAGACCTTGGTGGGTTGCCAAAATCCCCACAGCTCAGTGCTGCAGAGGATTATCTAGAGGAAAAAAAAAAAAATCAAAAACAAACAACCCAAAAGGAACCTAAAAAACCTAAGTGTGTGTCTTAAATATAATCCACAAAATGGAAATATGGATGTGTTTTCCATGGGTCTAGGAGATGAGGGTGTAGTGATGTCTGAGAGCCATGAGGCACAGCTGATCCCAGGGGTGCTCAGAGGATGCTGCAACACAATGTTTTGCGAGAAAGCAAAAGTGATTTTTTTTTTTTCCCAAATAGTAAGGGATCAAGGAACAAACCCCAAATTTTTAGGGCAGCTCCAAGTGCCAGACAGCTGGAATACCACTTTCCAGGGTCACAAAATCCTCCTCAGGGGCTGACCAGACACATTATCTGAGCCATAACCACTACCATTGTTATCACTTGTTTATCACTTAATTGGGGGGGGGGGGGCAGGGGGGAAGGGTCTTAATTATTGGCTGCACACCTGGCCAAAGGTTTTTAATTATCCTTCTTGCATTTTAGCTTCTTTCTCCAGCTACCTCCACACCTCTGACTCTCTTGCACCCGTCCTGGGAACCCAACATATCTTAGGCCACTCACTCCTAGACATTAATTAAAAAGTCTAATTAAAAAATGTGGGATATTCGCCGAGGACACAGAGTTCCCCCACCTAGGGAGTGTTCTCAGCGGGTTCCCACAGATTTCCCCATGTGATATTTTTTGGGGAGGCTCCATTTCCAACTTAGTACCATTTAAACTGCAGGGATGCCCATCACACTGTGGAGCACAAAGCCCATCTGACGTGCCTTGGAAAAACCTTAAATAGCCCAGCACAGGCTCTGGCAGGCACTGCATTTCCCCGACTCCAGCAGGTGGGTCAGGATCAAGTCCCATTGGCACTTGAAAGCCTTCAAGACCCCCATCCTCAGCTCCAGTCATCGGTGACAAAGAGCTTTCGCCGTCATCCCACCCCAGCAAGGATGAGCCTGTGGTGAAGGTAACGCTCTCCCCCCAAGCCCTTTTTTATTGCTCACAGGGTTTAGAGCTGTTTTTTGCTGGGACTAAAGACTTTTTTTTTCTTGCTCATATAACTCAAATGGCTGAGCAGATTTTCTTCAAAGGCTCCAAAACAGCTAGGATCTAGTGGAAAAAAAAATAAGCTTATGGAAAGTTAGCTCAGAAGGGAGCCTGGGAAATTTTAAAAAATTTTAAAAAATATTGTAAATTGGGGTCTAAGAGCCTGACTGTTAATAAGATACGCTCTCGGAGTGAAGCTGGATGGAAACGCTCAAGGAGACAGGGTGAGTGGTACCTCTGCTCCCAGCGATGTCCTAAGGCAGGATGTGGTGGGAGGTGTTGCACACTGGGTGTGGGGACTGTGACCATCCTTCCCACCATCTGCCCCACAGGGAAGCCTGTGCCACGTCAGGGTGGGCAGTACCTGGCTGAAGGTCACAAACCTGGTGATGGTGAAGTCATCACCCTACAATAATTAACCCATACAGCTCAAGATACTCATCTGGTCTCGTTAATAATCCCACTCGTGGAAGCCCCTCTGCCCAAAAGGCTGTCACAGTGTTTGCAACTTCAGGTGCTAAAATATTCAGCATCTTGGGTTGCAAAACACGGCAAAGTAGGATTCCTGTCCAGGCTTTGGAGATACAATGTCCTCTGCTCCGTACCTTGGGCACAGCTCCCCTCCTCTGCAAAGTCCCTCCATCTCTGGCAAGGATGGAAAACAGATGATCCCATCCCTTAAGGTCTTTGGAAAGCCTTGGCAGCACTTAAGGTTACCCACATCAAGCCCCAGGAACCATCACCCACCTCTGTAATGGGAGATGCTTTCTTTGGGCTTGACACGTGAGGTTAGGACACCTCCACGGGACACTTGCTTGTGCTCCAACCAGGATGATTCAACACTTTGTTGCTTTTATTTGAGATTAAAAAAAAAAAAAAAAAAAAGCAAGAAAAGGCAGGTGATTTTCCCACCGAATCACATGGCTGAACAGATAGAGGCATCAAGAAAACCTCAGGAAAAGACTTGGGAGTATTAGTGGATGGAAAACTGCCCGTGAGGCAGCCCCGTGCGCTCGCAGCCCAGAACCCACCCGTGCCCTGGGCTGCAGCCAGAGCAGGGGGGGCAGCAGGGCCAGGGAGGGGATTCTCCCCCTCTGCTCTGCTCTGGGGAGACCCCCCTGCAGTGCTGGGGCCAGCTCGGGGGCCCCCAACAGCAGAAGGACCCGGAGCTGCTCGAGCGGGGCCAGAGGAGGCCACGGAGATGCTGGGGGGGCTGGAGCAGCTCCCCTGGGGGGCCGGGCTGAGAGAGTTGGGGGGGGGTCAGCCTGGAGAAGAGAAGGCTCCGGGGAGCCCTTCGAGCAGCCTCCCAGGGCTTAAAGGGGGGGCAGGAAAAGGGGGGAGGGACTCCTGATCAGGGTGTGTGGGGATAGGATGAGGGGTAACAGTTTTAAGCTGAAAGAGGGGAGATTTAGGTGAGCTCTAAGGCAGAAATCCTTCCCTGTGCGGGTGGTGAGGCGCTGGCCCAGGGTGCCCAGAGCAGCTGTGGGTGCCCCCTCCCTGGAAGGGTTCAAGGCCAGGTTGGACGGGGCTGGGAGCCCCCTGGGCTGGGGGAAGGGGGCCCTGCCCGGGGCAGGGGGGGGCACTGGGTGATCTTTAAGGTCCCTTCCAACCCAAACCAGTCTGTGATTCTATGATCAGGAGATCCATGCTCAGATCACAACTTTGACAACAGTAGTTGTTTGATAACAGTTTCCTGCAGCTCTTGATTCTCCAAGCGTGAGTACTAATGGTTGGCAACTTCAGATGATCTGTTTGGAAGTGAGGCCATCTAGATTGCAACCCAATGTGCGTTTGTCTTCACGGCAAAATTAATGCATCCCTGAAGGCCCTGCCTACATTCAAACCTGGTGGCCCAACCCCAGCTAAGGGTATCAGAGCATTTTTGGCAGCACTGATGACCATGAGATGGGGCTCAGATGATTCACAAGGGTCCAGAGGACGCCCTGGCCTAGGTAGCACTCTGTCTTTAGTGGATCAGGGACCTGGGAAGAGGCCAGAGCAGAGGTGGTGGATGTCTCTGTGCCCTTGCAGGTAACCCCATGAGCGCAGCCTTGCAGATGACGGCGTTCAGTCTTGCTCTTCTCTCAGCTCTCTTCCTGATTCTTGCCACATGCACTGACTGTTGGATGGTGAATGCTGATGACAGCTTGGAGGTGAGCAGAGCAACCATGCTCAAGGTTAGCAGCTGAGAGCAAGGTGGGTGCTTTGCCATCCCTGGGGCTGCACAATGACTCCGTGGGCTTCAAAAGGGGACTTGGTGGGACAAACTCACTGCTTTCTGCATGAGTTGGAGAATTCGATGATTAGAAAGATATAGAAATGCTGGAGCAGAAGGAGGAGTCAGAGAGCAAGGTATGGGTAGGGAGTCACTGGTACATGTCCAGCTGTGGTGATGAGAGCCTGAATATCTACTTGCTGGGCTGGGATCTCCCTGGGGAGATGGGGTGGTTTTGGTGCTTTTTGCTTGAGTGTTTTTCTCCCGCTTCCAGGTAAGTCACAAATGCCGGGGGCTTTGGAGGGAGTGTGTCACCAACATGCAGGACGGGGTCAGGACCTGTGACCAGTATGACTCCATTTTGGCTGACCATCCAGGTAAGCTGGCATGGCCTGGAGGCATTTTTAAAGTTCAAAGATGAGAGATTTTCCTCTTCCATTTTCAAGACGATCCTTGTTGCAAAGGGCTGACCTTCATCAGTTAGCAACGCAGGCCCATTCTTGGTCTCCTGCCCCATCAGCACAGCCTGGGCCCCAACCCATGGTTCAGCTAGATTTGCCATGGGGTCACGAAGCTGGACAGAGGCCATGAAGCTGTGCTACCTCACAATAAAAAGTGTTTTGGCACGTAGAGCCCAGGCACAACTCCTGCCGCCCATTGCACAGTGGGATTTGCAACCCCATTGCATGCAGGGGTGAGGACCATTCCCACTGGCCAAGGATTTGTGTTCTCAGCTCACAGACAGTCATCTTGTGGTATGGAGACGTCTCCTAGCCTGCACAGGGCACGTCAAGCCCTGCACGGGAGAGCCCTTGTCCTGTATAGGGCGATGACATGGGACAACACAGATTCAGGCAGTGGAGAAGGGAACAAGATGTCAGCATGGACTGAGGCTGCTGTGTTGCTCTGGGGAAAAAGCTTTTTAGGGAGAAGTCACATAGCACGCAGCTGGTGATGTGAGCCACACCAACTATCATATTTTTCACCACTATGTTGACATTTGCTGTTCAAAGCACCAGCTACACAACTTGGAGGAAAAGACAGACAGTCTGGACAGCAGCAGCATTTGTCCAAGTCTGTGCAAGAAGGTCTTGAGTATGTGACCACATTCCAGGTGCCGACTGGTGCACCTTAAGTTGTTTGGATTCTTGAGTTGTTCTAATAACAGGCTTATTAAGTTCTGTTGCAAAGTTTCAGGTGAGCCCGGTGAGCACCTTGCCTACAGCCCATGGCAGGCATGGGGTTGGTGGGTGCAAATGTAGATACGTCCTATGGCCGTGCCCACTGGTGAGCTGAGTGACTCTAACAGGGACACAGCAATCTGGAGAGGGGAAACCAGTTCCTCTGATCATTCCTCAGTCCTCTTTCTGTTCTTTTTTTTTCCCTTCCCTGTCCAGTGAAGATTGTGGTGACGCGGACCCTGCTGATCACAGCAGACCTCCTGGCTGGCCTGGCTCTGGCTACGTTGCTCCTTGGGCTCGACTGCATCAAGTTCCTCAAGGAAGATCCTCATGTCAAACTGAAGATGTGCTATGGGGCCGGTGTCATCCTTGGCATTGGGAGTGCGTGGGTGGGAGAGCTCAGGGGCAGATGGGCCTCATGTCCCAGGAGCAGCAGGGGGGGTACTGGGAGACAGGGGCACCTCAGAGGGGTCTTGGGGAACATTTCAGGGTTGTACGGCTCTTTCTTAACCAGTCCCATTCCTCCTAGGCATCCTGGGCCTTGTGGGCTCTGTGTGGTACGCAGTGGACGTCTACGTGGAGAGGGCCAAGTTGGTGTCGCACAATATATTCCTGGGAGTCCATTACGACTTCGGGTGGTCGTGCTGGCTGGGGATGGCTGGCTCCATGGGCTGCTTCGTGGCATCCATCCTGCTGACATGCTGCCTCTCTGCCTGCACAGGTCGGTCTGTCCTGCTCCACCCCATCCCATCTTAAGTAGCTTTTTGCCCTGCAGGGATGTCTGTGGGGTTAAGGGCCAGCTCAATAGGCGCAGGCACTTCTTGCAGGGTCCACCCAAATTAAGGTGAACCCCTTCATGTCTGGCCTGTGCACCTTGGTGGGGGAGGCTGGGTCACACCAGGCAGGACTGGGCTGAGTGAGGACCCCGTAAGCCCCGTAAGGGCACGGAGCAGGTACAGAAATACCCCTTCCACATCTGCGGGACCTCAAGGTCGTGGTGAAGATGTATTGACATCTACCCAAAGCAGTGGTCACGATGGAGCTCTACCACTGTGACCAGCCAAAGCCTGAGCCAGTGGCTGCAAGGATGTTCTGGTGGAAATCTGGCCATCCCACCACCAGGGACGTGGGGTAGGCGATGCCTCACCACACGTCATCTCCAGCCCTTATGCCCTCTGGGTGGAAGTTGACCCCACAGTGCTGGCTGTCTGGGTTCATTTCTCCTGCCATGTCCCCACGCTGTGACACCCCCTGAGCCTCTCTGCTGTTACCGGCCATGACACAACCCCAACTCTTTCCTGGCAGACCCTAACAGCCACTGGCAACCCCAGAGGTTTCCCCGGCCCCGGGGCCGAACAGCCACCAGCAAGATGTACACCATGGATTCACGTGTGTGATGGGCAGCAGCACCTCTCGCACCCGGCCCCGCTGTGGAACGCCCTCCCCGCCCCAGACTGACCCCATTAAAGCACCATCACCTACACTGGGACATCTCTGCGATCACTTTAAGGCTCTGATTGCAGGGTCCACGCGAGCTGTAGCATCAGCGGCTGCAAAAAAGCAAGGGGGCTGCAGAAGTCACCTGCAGCAGAGGTTTATTTTTTCCCACTTCCTGCCAGGTTTCATGAAAATAAGCCCCATAAAAGCATTGCTTTAAGGAAAGATGCCCCCCAAGTTCCCTGGGGAAGCTGTTAGGACACTGAGGGCAAAGGAGCTACTCCGACATTGCTCAGCCACTAGCTTTGGAGGAAGTTAGTGGAAAGCCTTTTCTGCACAGAGCAACACTGACTCCACATGGCTGGTGACCCTGATGGCTCACACACCAGCCCTGCTGGAAACCGCGCCTTCGCTCAGAAATCCAGCAGCACAAGGTTTGCATTTAAAACCTGGGTAAGGCTAACAGCCTGGAGCATTCATTAATGCTGTCGTGGGGGGATCAGTGGAGGAACGCCGTAGCCATATGGGTCAGGCACAAGGAGGCGAGTCAGTTTGAAGACTAATGGAGGTGCTCTACCTGCAAGGTTGAGTTTTTAAGTCCACAGAAAGAGGGAATTCTGTTTTCCAAGTAAATTATTATCCTTCTTCATTTGCAAACCATTATGAAAACAAACCAGAACCCCAAACCACTAACAACCTCGTTGCAATTGCTGACTGCTTAGCCTTTGTACTTATCCCTCACTTCCCACCCAAAGGTTAGCACACAGAAACCGTGTCAGGGCAGGGGGGCTGGGCAGAGCTCCCCACGATGGGCTTTGTGACCCCAAAAGGCAGCAGACCAAGCCTCTGGCCTGAGCAGATATTGCTGTGGGGCTGCAGACAGTCCCCGCAACGGCAAAGTGCAGAAGAGACTGGCAGGAGCACTTTTGTACCCTAGGCAGGCTGCAAAAGGCCTACACCCCCAAACCAGAGGAGTTGCAAGGGTCCTCCCAAGCCGTGTCCCCGGGGAAGATGGGGACATCGTTTCCAATCTCACACGAAGCTGGAAGGCAGCAAACCTGTTGCTTTATTGCAGCTCCCCGCTTCGGGTGGGACGCAGGAACACCGCTGGGCAGCTGTTGTGTCCTGCAGCATGGGAGCACGTCTGCCCATATCATTAGTATAGGTTAAAGCAATGCCCCAGGGACCTGAAAAATGAAGAAATCTGATCACTAAAGCTGTGTAACAAATACAGAGCATGACTGGCCCTTTGCTGTTAAACAGCAGGATGGCTGTGGCCCAAAGGACGGGCAGTCAGAAGCCTGGTAGAAGATATTTAGAGCAAAACTCAACAGCTCTGGGCGTTTCATGGCCGGCAATTGAGCACACAGGAAAACAATTAAAACCAGCAAGAATTTGCATGATGTGGGGGTAGAGCTCATTAGCGCATGGAAAGGGAAGCTCTCAGAAGCTGCCATCAGACAACCACACCCCACCCACTGGGTGCTCCTCGATGGCAGTCCCAGTTGTTACTGGTAATTTATGATGAGTATTGTAATGGGGCCAGGCGGCCCAGCCAGCAGCAGCAGCTCAGGTGCTGGTGGATAAGCCCTGGCACTCACCCAGCTCCCCCAGAGGCACAGGCAGAGCTGGGTTTGCTGGGGGTGCAGCCATCTCCCTGCCCCTCAGCCCCGGGGTCGGTCACCCCTGGGACACCAGAAGTGTCAGTACCTAAGCAGCCTTCCAGACAGCAGCGCTCTGCGCTTCCCCAGAGCCGAGCACGCAGGTGAACCAAACCCGCGAGACTCTGTGTCAAGAACCCAGAGTCAATGCCAAGAACCTGCATTTCCCCTGGTTTTCCCTCAATTCCCCTTCCCACGCACCAGGAGCAAGACACCAGCAAGTCTTGCAGCAACTCGCTTGTAAAGACATCACAGCTGTGTTGGAGGAAGTCAAGAGCAGCCGTGCTCCGCGCATCTCCAGTGACAAGTTTTGGGTGGGTTTTTGTTTGGTTGGTTTTTTTAAGCACCCTCACTTCACCTCAGTTTTGTGACAGCCATATGCCAGGGCAGACACAGTTGAGCCACTCCAGCAAAAAACTCTCAGGAATGCACCAGCCTGACACTAAGCACCTCCTCTCTTCACCCTCCAAGAGCCTTGCCACCCACTTGGAATAGGGCTTAATTACTTTTGATTTTTTTTTTTTTACTCTTTTTTTTTTTTTTCTGTATTTTGCACCTACATCCTGTATGCTGAAGAAATAAAGCAGTCATTTTTTTCCCCAAACCTTTTATGAACACTTAACTTAAACCCCTTCATACAGAAGTGGGTTTAAAATGACCAAGCACACAAGGTAATTCTTTAAGACCTTTATTAACAGATGCTTGCAGTTTGACTTGAAAAAATCAGGTGTATATTTCATACAAATTAAAAATGAGGTTCTTAAAAATCTCAACTTGACCAGATATGAAACAATTTAAAAACCTTTAAAGGTATATTGAGAAAAAACAGGCTTTTAAAAAACGTTGTTTATAGTTTCCAAAAGGAGACTTCTTTAGATAAAAATAATAAAAACCCCATGCTGCATAGATAATGCAGATAGTTCTAGTAATCTGGTCAACAGCAAAAAGCAAGCACTTAAGGTCTTCAGTTCCAATTCTTTTGTTCATTTCTTATTGCTGGAATTTCATTTTCTTTTCTTCTTCATTTCTTAAGTCTTTTCTTTGATGACTAAACTGAAAAAGAAAAAAAAAAAAAAAAAGATGATCAGGCAGGTGTAAAGAGGCTTACACAGGTGTTTGGTCTACCAAGATTCACCTGCAACTCAAATTCTGAACTACCTTTCACACACAGAAAAAAAAAACCCTTCCCAACTACAGCTCTTTGATTAGCTCAGACTCCCACCATCAGCCCACTTTCAGTGACCAAAACTGCCATCTTCCACAAAAAACAAATGCAAAGGAATGTGAAAACACTCTAAATACAAAGGAATCCTTGGCTACACCTCTCCCCTCCCCAGGCTCCCGGGGGAAGCTGCTCACATCGAGCTCTGCAGACACACTGGGCTGTGGGGCCAGTGCCAGGCATGGGGCTGTAAACGGCGGCCACCCCATGACGGCAGGAGGACAGCTGATGAGCAGATGGCTGAAGAGCAGATTCCCACCTGTGCCTAACGGAGGCAGCGTGGCTTCAGTAAGCCACTGCCCAGACCACAGAAACCACAATTTATATTCTCCAATACTATCAATAGACAGAAAAAGCAACCAAGTGTCATCACGGTGGTTCTTCGAAGCCCATGATATTAGGAATTCATCCAGCTTGTGTTAAGCATTAAGATGAACACCGGGATAAAACCAAGGTTCACATCGAGCGCACACAAAGCACTGCAAGGCTTGAAGGGGTATCAAGTAATCCACCTGCCTGATGAATCCAGCAGCGCCCGGAGTCCCTGAGCTCCCAGCTGGGAGAGGTCTGTGGCTGCTGCCCACACCAAGCTACTCTCCATGCCCAACTCCCACAGTCCCTGCTCAACCCATTAATGTGACCATTCGTTACCGCTTCCACCAGCCGAAATGCCTTCCTCCCTTTGCCTGACCTCCAGGCAACGAGTGAGACATGAGGAATAGGATATGAATGCTGGTTGAGAGGAAATACAGAGAAAGAGAGAAAAACAGACAAGGAAGGTGCCAGAAAAAAAAAGCAGAGCAAGTAGAAAGAGTCCTAGCAATGAGAATATTTCCAAATTAGCAAAACTGACTACCAGAATACAGCACCAAAAGAGGTGCCAAATCACAGCCAGTCTAACAAAACCAATGTTTTAACATTGACCTTTACACAATCCTTCCTAGCAGCAAGCCACACCAGTACCGCTGCACTTCAAACAGGCACCCTGGATGCTCCATAAAAAGGACTGTCTCCACCAGTTTCTCCAGCACTTTTTTCTTCAGACACTTAAAGAGCTGAGTAAATCCTGGTACCAGTTTCTCCTACCTACTATACCAGCACCACTGGAATTACTGTTTCTAGGTGGACAAAGACTGCTGTAAGCCTGAACTACTGAGCACAGCCAAGATTAAGATTAATCACACTCAAGGCAGTGACTCCATCAATGAAAACTAAAGCCTAATAACAGAGTTCTCCAAATTAATCAGCATCCGTACAGCAAAGTCTCAGAGTTCAGTTCTGCCAGCATGCTCCGAAGTGCAGCCAGTTGTTACAACATGCATAAGCAAAACCAGTGCAAGCCTTGTACAGCAAAAGTTAAAGGAACGCATCAAAATAAAAGTCAGTTATCAAATCGTATCCTCAAGAACACGCACCCGGATGATGGTAGAGATGGTAAGCCGGTATTTACTCAGCCCCGCCCTGCTCGGCCTCGGGAGCGGACGTGTTCTCAGCTGGTGGTTCGGCTGTCTTCGTCTCTTTGCCATCTTGTGGTTTAGGGTTCTCTGGGCGTCTGCGTCGGTAGTTGAAGTTACGACGGTACCGACGTTGAGGTGGCTGCTGACTTTGGGTCTCATCCCCTTGGTTCTCTTTATCTTCTTCGTTCCCATCCTCTCTAGGCTGTCTTTGACGAGGAGGACCCCTGAAAGTTAAGCTAGGCTTTAACAATGCAGCATCTGACCATCACCATGTTCTGCCTCGGTTGCCTAAAAGGCAAGCTTAAACAAAAAGTGGATCTGCAGCATACCTGCGAAATCGTGGTCTATAACCTCGATACATATTCTGCCTGACTGGTCTGCCTTGTTCTCCTGCACCCTGGTTGTCAGCACCCTGGAAGACATTAGGCAACCAACCATCTTAGCCACATGCAAAAGCCCATTGATGCCACAACTAGTCAAGCTGTGAGGAAGACGGCAGCAAGGGGACTGTCAGGTTAAGTCTGAGGAGGACAAGGTGGGCAGCAGTTCTAGGGCACAAGAGTACGCAGAGTGTAGAAGCTGTGTTTCTTACAGTTAACACAAATTCAAACACTCTGTTTTTTAAAAGCTGTAACATTAAGACCTTCAGCTTATTGACATCTGCTCCGATGTTTCTGGTAAGGTCTGGCAGCAAGATGAAACAACCCAAGTATCTAGGAAGTGGCAAAAAGCTGCACCCCATCACCCTGCTCCAAAGCAATCGAGCTGGTTTAGGCATCACACTTCAAGCAAACGTTACCTCCACTATCTCTCCCTGCACGGGAGGGTTGGAATATTGTGGTCGACGCCCGTAGGGCCTACGCATATAGTAAGGTGGGTACCGCCGCCTGCGATAGGGACGGCGTTGCTGGGCTTGACCTTCTGGTATGTTCTCTGCTCCTTCGTTCTTTTCCCCACTCTCACTGTTCTGGTAGTTTTGCTGGTAGTTGCGTGGAGGACCCCTACGACGTGGATATCGTCTGTAATGGTTACGGTCTGCTGCGTATTTACTGCCTTGCACTGGAACTCCACCAGGACCTGTAACATTAGCAGCCTCCGCACCCTGAAGAGCAGGGATAGCGGTAGGTAAACAGTCAGCACCAAATCAGTTATAGCATAATATAATTTAGTACTGAGCAACAATTTACATCCCCATTGTAAAGCAATGAAAAACCATTCGTCTCCCTGGATGTCATCAGGCATCGACTCAAACCACAGGCACCACACCAAAGCCTGCAGACCAAGTCTTCTGTGCATACTCTTAACACCCCAGAGACGTGCTTACCTTTTCTCCCTCAACCACATCAAACTCCACGGTCTCTCCATCTCCTACGCTGCGGAGGTACTTCCTGGGGTTATTCTTCTTTATGGCAGTCTAACAACATAACATTGCAGAATTACATTTACTGGCACAGCATGAGAATACTACTTGGCATATCTGAAGATTTATTTTTCTTTTTAAGATTAAGGAATTTGAGTATTCATAATCTTAGAAGGAAGACCTGTAACTCCTGAAAAAGCAATCAAACCACTGTGAAAATCCAGGAAGCCATAAAATGTACCTGTATTACTACAGTTCTGGCCTATTTGAAATGTGCAATGGCTTTACCATTTTCTGGAAACATCTGTTAACATGCTGTCTGCTAGCTGAAAAAGCAGTTTGAAAACAAACAAAAAACCAATCCCCACAATACACGCTGGCCATAGTACTCCTAACCAGAGTTTAGCATTAAACACCCACCCAGTATTTGTACATTCCTCTGAAGTATATACACCAATATATAAACCCTTCCAATCACACACTCAGATACCCACACCACCACAGTATGCAGTAGCCCACGTCTCAAGCTATGTAAATACATCAATGGCCAGAAACCAAGAGATTTCTTTCTCCAAGGCTTACAATACCATCACTTCAGCCACAGTATTTATCAACTAATCACAAATCTACTCCAGCTGTGTATTGTACACCAAGGATTAGCCCTTCCAAGGTGTCAGCACCAGACAAGCCTTTGTATCAGTATCTGCATGATAAATGACATTACTAGAAAACACTGAATTTTCTGTGCTGTTCAGCAGTGGATTAAATTTTGACAGATGAGTTAATACTCAATATGCACTGCACTCAGCCACATTCTGCTTATCAAACACTTTAACTGAGCAAGTTATACAAGTGTATAGCTGAGTCTAACAGCTCTTCACAAGACCAAAGCTTGATAATGGGGATGGGAAAAAGCATACACAGCTGTAACTCCTAAACCAAGCAGATTTATTTCAGAGTAGACCCCTAAAACTGTTTTATCATTACAATTATTACATTAAAACAAAAAACTGCCAAATTGAGCTTTTAGAAACACAGACAGCAGTTACAGGACAAGTCCTGAAATCTGACTTGTCAGTCAAGGTCACTTACAGGTTACCCTACTTGCAAGTTGAGTAACAGTCTGAAAGCTTTCCTTCAGGGTATATATTCCTGCCTCAGCACACAGAAACAGTAGAGCTGCTTGGCCTTTCTCCACTGGCCATTACAGAATAACCTTCTATAAACAAATGCCTCTACATTTTAATAGCAGGTAATTCAGACACAGCACAAGCAAGAAGCTGGGAGCTGGCAAATCAAACTCAAGTCAAAACACTTTCCAGGGGTTACTTTCTCCTCTTCTTTGTGTTTACAACATCAGCAGTATATCCCCAACTCAAAATAAAAGAACAATCCATGGACTCCTAAATGCCAGAAGTAAACCATACTCTGCTAAGAACTCTTTGTGGGCTGCTCCATAATAAGAGATCATAAGACAGAAACGGTAAATAGCAAAAAGTACCTATTAAAATGTTTGCAGACTTTCATTGAAAGCCTGGAGCAATACATTCTATAAAAGTTTTGCCAAAAAAAAAAAAAATCTTCACTGGCACTTCATCCCTATTACAGCCCAATTAATTTCTGTCCCTGCTGCAAGCTTTTCATTTAACTTTATTTCCATATGCATACTTAACTATATGAATCCACAAGCCAACTTAACTGGACTTCAAACAGTTATCCCCAAGACAGTGCAATTTTCATCACCATACAGTATCAGCCTGCTCAATCCCCTATGTCTCAGGTCCTCATGATGGGTGTACGTGGATATGCAAACCCCCAACTGCAAGCAGGCTCTACTTGCAATCCAATAGTGAGAAACAGTTCTTGGAACACATGAGGCTCTTTCGCAACTTCAATCCTACTTACATAGGTCATGAATAGCAAATTTCAGAGGTAACACCTTTCAGTTTCAAAGAAATCTCACCTGATGGACAAACACATCTTCCTTGGTGTCATTCCTGCAAGGCAACAGGAAATTTAAATTAATGTATGAAATGCACAGTAAATTAAAAATTCAATGTTTGGGCTGAGGACAAAACATGGATCTGTCATGACAACTAGCTTTCAGCATCAGCCTTGCTCCTCAACCTGCTCTCAACCAGTCCGCTACTAGCTTACCGCTTGAAGTAGAGAGGTTTTCAGGTAGCTAGTGCAAGGTTCAGAGCACATGGAAAGCATTCCTCCCCGCTCCTGTACACCCCTCTATCCTTCACATCCCACTGATGGAGATGTTTGAGAAGAACGAACACCTGATAGTGACCAATCATTTCCAGTAGTTCCCTGTGCAGGAAATCAGCTATCGCAATCTTTGAATCAGGCTACGTTATCACCACTCGAGCCTTGAGTGACCTCCTCTCAGCCTCCATGTCTTCATTAGAAGAGCAACAACACTAGCTGACCACTGAAGGCAGAAGAGTCAGTCAAGCTGCATTTGTGAGCACAGGGAGGGAAGAATTTGGGTTTCTCCCCTCACAAGAAACAGAAAACAGCTGAAGTTTGTACCTGCAAGGATCCAAAAGCATCTTTCAGCATGATACAGCTTCCACAATTATCATGCTGAGGCTGGACAACCACAACATGGTACCAACTTAAGTCAGAAAAGTTTCTGTTCTGCAATTAAGAGCTACAGCCTCTGCACTGGTTTGAGTACTGTACATGCAGTTTCCACCACTCATAACAAACTTACAGCCACACATCTAAGCTCACATCATACCAACTGAACCTCACTGCGGTGTTAGTTTCAGTAGTGTATGGAACAGTTTGAATCAATAGCAAAGTGGCTTTTATTTCCTCAAATGACTGGTTGAAGACATTACAAAGCAAGCTTGTATGAAAATGTGCTCAGATCTGGAGAGCTTACAGGTATGGGCAACAGAATAAAGAATTTTTTTTTTTTTTAAGATAAAGCCAGGTGCTCCTCACCACTGGCTTTAAAACATGAGGATTACAATTAAGACTCTTCCAAAAACTCAATACAAGCAAGCTATGGCTATTCTGTCAGACAGCACAAGTAGAAATAAGTCACCTTGTTTCCTCATGGAATCGATGCCTACAAGCCTCAAAGGTTACTGCAAAAAGGTAATCAAAAGGCAAGAAAGCAGATCCAGTCTGGTCATCATGAGGCAGCTCATCTCCAAGGCCCCATGATGCAGAACCCAGGGGCCCTTGCAAATCCTGAGCCTAAATACTTTCTTCTTTGCAATCTCTTACCAGATGCTCTTCAAATGCTGAAAAACTTCAGAAGAGCCCAGTAACAGGTTACCAGTAAAAATGCTTAGCACCTTCCTTCACTCTCAGCTGAAAAATGGTGGTAGGAAGTGCTCATTGTCTGTGCTCTGCAAGTACAGCTCTACGCTCTTGCCCAAGTTTGATTTGGGTAACCATACCAGATGCTTGTTTTCAAAGTCCTTTTGAAAATGCAGCTTCCATTTAAGAAGATGCTGGAGTTTTAAAAAAAAAAAACAAATGACTCAGCTACGCAGATTTAGCTCAAGGTGTATGCACAGCTAGTTGAAAAATATACTGGTCAGTTTTGAAGCCTGCCACACGATTCCTGACACTGTTTTCCAGCAAGCCCATCTGGAAGCAGCAAGCATACTGACACTCGGATGGTGTAACACTAATAGTGATCACTTTCTCAAAGAAAATGTGAAATAGTACAAGAGAAACCCCTACTCCAAAGTACTAACAAGCCATTTAGCTTATCTTTGTACTAAATGACTCTCCCCTCAACATTTTTAATCCCTAAAAATAAAAAGGAATCAGACAAGCAGACAGATTAAGAAAACACCCCTGTTAAGCCCAGCAGAGCACTAAATACAAAGCCAGATATCAATGTGCAGCTCCAATTATGGTAAGAGGACTAAGTCAGTGGCCTGCACATCAATTTATTATTTTGACAACTGTGAGAAACAATTGACAGATACTCAGAATTCATACTAGCATTTCAGAACAGAAATACACTTTTAACATTAAAAGAACACAGGAAATACTTGAAGTTAGTGTACTCCTACAACAAAAGTAAATTTTAGTTCCAAAGCTCATTTTAACTGCAAGCAGACCCAGCTGAAGCAAAGACAAGCAAGAGCAGGAGCTCCCACAAAGTTTCCCTTGCAGCAAGCCAGAGAGATGCCAGAGTTGAGGAAATGTCCTCCAGTTCAGTTCTCAGGCTGCATCTCTCATCTCGATAACACAAGATCATGCTGGGTTTCTCATTAAAAATGGCAACCTCAGGGATTAAACAGCTGCCAAATTAATGACATTCGGATGTCTTAACTAGCTGCTGTTACTTCCTTGCTTGACTCACATCACTGAGCATTTCCACTACTGAGGGAAGCAGGAAAAAAGCCTTCCCTAGAGGTAGTTTGCGGCCTGTGACTTTATACACATCTACAAAAGCCAAAGACACTAATGCTTACAGCACCGATGAGTACACAACATTTAACATTAAAACCTACATGAAGAATGCAAACTGGGCAGACCCAAAGCCAATTTTTTTAAAGTTGCAGATACAAAACCAATTAAGGATCTTGGCAGATACTTAAGACCAGCCTATAAGGTAGCAGTAAAAAAAAAAAAAAACAAAAAAAAAAACCCCAGTATTTAAAACAAACCTAAACAAAAGGCCCAATAAAAGCACCAGTATCTACATTTGCTTCCCTGAAGAGGGATTCCCAACTCTTCTGTCAAATGCTGAAACCATGGGTTTGAAGTATCAGGTATTTAAGGTAAGCAGTTCTTTGGAACATGGCCTCTGCAAAATAATCCACAGGGAGGCCCTCCAGAATGGACAAGTATGAGAATTGCCCATTTTTCCAGAACTGGTTTGCAGAGCAATTCCAGGACTCCTCTGCTACTGGACAGCTTCACTGATACGCCTATTTTAAGCGTTTACACAACTCTAAGTGTTCACATTTTTCTTTCAGCCAACTAGAGTCATAAAAATAATTTTCTAGGCACTTGTTTCTTAAGATCACCTTGCAATATGAAAGAAACCTGAATTTTGCTCATTTCCCCATACATTTTGGGGTTTCCTCAAGTGAGCATGCTTTTAACTACCAAGCACTCAAAGCAATTTTGGCTTGCATTGATGAGAGTGAACTTCAGGCAGGAGTTTAAACAAATATTTAGTGTATGCTAACAGCTAGCAGCAGGCTTTTATGGCCTTAAGAGCAAAACCCCGAATCACTGTAAAAAAAATCGTAATCTTAACGTAAGAAATATCACCGTGAAAACCAATTCCCTAGGAGAGCAAAGCTGTTGCTGATTGAAGCGCTAAGAAGCCAGCCGGCTACAAGCCGGCAGGGCAGGAGATCCTGGGATGGCGGCAGGCCCCTCAGCCTCCTCTGCCAAGTGTCACCGAGGGGGTGACAGCGGTGACAGCGGTGACCGAGGCGCTGCCGCCGCCCCCCCCCGCCGTCCCGCGCGCCCCCCCCGCACCCTCACCTGTTGATGAAGCCGTAACCGTTCCTCACGTTGAACCATTTCACTGTTCCCAAAACCTTCGTTGCTGAGGGAAGCGACGGGGGAGGAAGAGGAGGGAGAGAGGGAGAGAGAAGAGAGAGGCGGCGGCGTCAGGGCGGCACGTGGCGGGGCGGCGCACACAAAGGCCCCGCGTGGCGGACATTTTGAGGCGCCCCGCCCCCACCCGCCGACACGCGGGGCCCGGCGGCGCGCGCGGGAGGAGGAGGAGGAGGAGGGCGCCCAACGGCCGCCACGGGCGCGAGCGGGGGAGGAGGCGGCGGAGGCGCGCGCCGCCCCTCAGCGATGGGGGGGAGGGAGGAAGGGGGGGGGGGGCTCGCGCTGCCGCCGGGGCCACCCAACCGCCGCCCCCCCCCCCCCCCCCACCTCACCGATGACCTTCTTGTCCCCGCCGGCGGGAGGCGCCGCCGAGGCCAGGCCGCTCCCCCCGTTCCCGGTCCCGCCGTTAGGCTTGGAGTCGGCGGGGGCGGCGGGGGCCGCCGCGGGGACGGGGGCGGCGGGCGGCTGGGTCTCGGCCTCGCTGCTCATGGCGGCGGCTGTTCGGTGCGGACGGTGGTGGTGACTGGCTGTTTGCGCCGCCTCCCGCGGGGTGATGGTGACTGAGGCCGGCCGTGGGGGGGCTGCTCCCTGCTCCGGGCTCGCTGAGCTCCGCTCTCCGCTCCCGATACCGATCGAACTGGCCACAATGGCGGCCCGCACCGGCTAGCCACCCCGCGCGCCCCGCCCGCGCGCGGCGCTATTCGCCGCTCGGCCCGCCCGTTAAGCGCCGGGCGAGCCCGTTGGCTGGTCTCCTCTCGGCCACCGCCCCTCCCCGAACGCTTATTGGCGGCAGCGCCTGCCTTTCTTCAGGATCCCGTCCCCATTGGCCGTTCCGGCCGCGGCTGCTAGGCTCTCTTTTCTTACCGGCCTACCGCGAGTCCCCACCCCCGCCCCCTGATTGGCCGCCGCCGCCGCTCCCGCCCCCAGCGGCCGCGGCCGGGGAAGTGCGAGCGGCCATGTGGCGGGGGAGCGCCGCGGCCCCGCGGCTGCCCCGTCCACCCCGGCGCTCGGCCCCACGGGCGCGCTGCGGGCAGTTTCCCCTCGCTGGAAAGGCCCCGGGCGGAGGGATCGTGCGGGTGGCTCCCGCCGCCGGCCCCGTTACAAGGGCTGAGTGCAGCCCCGCGGCGAAAAATAATCGTCAAGGAGCCCGGAAGCGTTAATTAACGGTGGGAAATGACGGGTCTGGAGACGTGGCGGAGCTGCTTAAAATGTGTAATTACGTGCAATTAAAGCATTGTAGTCAGCCTCCTGAGTAACGGCGTGCTGGGGGAGGGCTGCGCTGGCGGGTGAGGGGTTGGCTGAGGTGCCGCAGTTGGTGCCTGAAGTGGGGTGGGGGCCCTGCTCTAACCCCCCCACCCCGGGGTGCAGGCAGCACCCAGAGGTCCTGAACCCCGTGCCTGGCCCCCGGGTGAGGAAGGGAAAGGGGCTGGGCTTTGCCTACCAAAACGTGGGACCAGCTGAGGTGCTCCTCTAGCCTCTCCGTGCTGCAGATGGGCAGCAGGGCTGTGGCTCTGCTTTGCCCGTGTCGGCAGTCCTTTGATTGCACCTGCCAGGCTAGTGACTCCAGATAAACGCCTCCTAATTGAGCCACTTAAGAGCCAGGCTGTAGCCCCGGGTCAGGGGTCTCTTTCAAAGTCTTTTCTTTAATTAACCTTTTCCCAAGCATCCCACGATTCCCCTCCCAGGGGAGCTTCTCTGCCAGAGAGATGTGGGGCAGCTCCCCTTACCCTGAGCCCTTCTCCCCACCTAGGAAGTCGGGAAAGCATCACTGCTGGATTCTTTATCTTGATGGAGCCCTTTTCTAACAACCACCTTTCACCTCCTCTTTGCTTCCATCCCCTGCAGAGAGATCCAAGATCTCTGCTGGATTCCCCAGAGCAAAGGTCCAGGGGAAACCCAGTGTTCTTGTCCACCAAGTTATTTTCCTTGGGCACTTGAAAAATGTGGATGTTGGCTGCAGATTCATAGCCCTGCCCTTGGCTATGTCATTCCCCCCACATAAGAGGAGGGAAAGGCCACCAGCAATCACCAAGAAGGTCTTTGGGAGCTGCCCCATCTCTCTACCATCTTTGCCACCAAGTTGTATCCCCTTGGGATCAGCTCTTAGAGCATCACTCACAAACCGCTGACAATTCCCCCATCCTAGGGTGAAAAGTAGAAGCCGGGGACCTGGTTTCCCACATTGCACCATGGTCAGGTGAGGGGCTGTGCTGGGTTTGTGTGGTGGGTTTTTTGGGGCTGGGGGCTACAGCGGCGGTGGCTCCTGTGAGAAGCTTCTCAAAGCTCCCCCAGCTCCAAGTCAGACCCGACTGTGGCCCGGGCTGAGCCAGTCAGCAACGGTGGCTGCGGGTCTGCGAGAACGTACTTATGAAAGGGGAACAGAGGGGTGGGGACTTGTGAGGAATTGCTGGGAGGAAGACACCTATGCGAACACTGAGGTCGGTGGGAGGAGGAAGGGGGGGAGCTACGCTGGAGCAGGGACACCCCACCCTGTATCCCATGGTGAGATGGCAGGGCCACCCTCCTGCCACCCATGGAGGTCCGTGGTGGAGCAGAGGCCAACCTGAAGCCTATGGAGGAGCCCACACCAGGACAGACGCTGCACTTAAAGGAGGCTGGGACTCTGAGGGAAGAAGCAGCCCCCACTGTTGTGGTTCGGCGCTGGGAGGACTGCAACACGCAGGGGTGACCAACACTGGAGCAGCTCGGGAGCAGCTACATCCCATGGGAATGACTCACGCCAGAAAAGGTTCATGGAGAACCGTCTCCAGTGAAAGGGGAGCCATGTGGAGCAGGGGAAGAATGCAAGGAGTGTGTCATGGCTGCCCCCCCCCCCCAACAAGGAAGAAGCGGCGAACTGACTGTAACCCCCCACCCCCTGAACCACTGTAGGTAGAGAGATCGGGAGCAGAGCTGAGCCTGGGAAGAAGAGGGTGGGGGGAGGTGTCTTGGGGATGTGGTGGCAGTTCTCATTGTCTGTTAAGTGTTGTTTTTGTTAGTGTTTGAATTAAAGTGACATTCTTCTTTTTTCTTCTGCTAACAAGTCTGTCTTTTGCCCATCACCCTAACTGGTGAGCCACCCCTCCCTTCCCTTCTCTCACTTCCCAAGCCTTTTGCTTCATTTTCTGCTTCCAGCTCTGGTGGGGGGAAGGAGTGAGTGAATCGCTGCATGGTGCTCAGTTGCCTTCTGGGCTCAAACCACAACAGGGCCTCAGATGGGGCCAAGGTCAACCCATCACAAGAACCAATGTGGGTTTACAGACATAGGTCTTTTCAAGCTCTCTTGGTATCTTTTCTATGAGAGCTCCAACTCAGATAATGAAGGAAAGGGCTTTAAAACAATAACATAATTCTGCAAGGGATCTGCATCAGGATCATGACCTTGAAACCAGAATGATGTCAAAGACAGATGATGCTCAGTAAGTCCACTAAAAAATGTCTTAAAATATAATGGCAAATCCACCATGCAAGAGATGCTGGAGGGAGAAAATTGGGGAGAAAACTTCAAATCTCAGTGATGAAGCCTGTGAGGATGTCAGGGCTATGTACCTGGAGAAGATGATGTGGGCCACCCAACAGCTAACAACATTTGGGAGGGGTAACACTGCAGGCCTCAGAGGTTAATCTGGTCCTCAGGTGAGTAGAGAGGCAATCAGAAATGCTGACTCTAGTTGCAGCATCCACAGTTGGAAGACGCTGGAGCTCAGGGAGAAAAGATCCATCATCTGCTCTACAGGAGGAGATTCCAGGACGTGCTACATACAACGTCACTGAAGAGGGACTTCATGAGGGAATTAAACACAAAAATGTAGTCTTTGAGAAAAATTTCAGCCAGCAGGTAAGGCAAGATACATAAGCTAGAAAGCTGAAACTGCACGTTCAGTGTCAAAGACACATAACAGGATATAATTAGCCATTGGGACAACTTTCAATGAGGTTGTAATGGATTTGCTACTGTCAATTAATTTGGGGAAGCTCCATGACCTCTGCTATGCGGGAAGTGTGACTAGCTCATTGCAGTGACATAAATACATCAGGCTGAGAAAATGCTGTTGAGCCAGAACTCAGAAATAAGCTGGTTTCTGTGGCAAAAAAAGTATGGTGAATTTGGGTATCCGCAGCCAGAACTGCAAACCTGAGCACTGCAGCTGGCAGGCAGAGCTCCCTCAAACTGCCTGGAGCCAAGCTCCTGCCTAGACCCCATAGGGAAGGGCCATCTGGACACATTTCCTGAGCAGGACCAGCAGCTGAGTTCCTATCTTCTTGGTCACCTCTAATCCCACAGCTGTCATCCAGCTCATTTTCTCCTCTGTATTGAGAATTTTCAACCCTCATTTCACAGGAGAAAGCCCTCTACAATGTCTTTTTGGGGCTGGAGAGGAAAGCATGGTGTGCTTTGTGTTTCTTTCATCACCTGATGTTCTGCAGGTTCGAAATGCCTCAGGCTGGAGAGAAGCAAGTACGAGTGTCCTCAGCAGCTGTGCAATCCCCGGAATGGAGACATGGAAATCCTGACAGCCAGAGCCTGCTTCAAGGACTTTAAACAGCCATGAGATAAAAGAGCACACCAAAGCATGCCTGCAGAATCTGTCCTCCAGTACATCAGCACTTGCTATCTAGCACTGCGTAACGCACAAGCTAATTGCACGGACCACGCCTCCCCAGGACAGCCCCACACAATACGCTCCTGATGCCCAAGGAGAGATGGGATGAAGCACCTGCATGTGACAGATCAGACTTTGTCCCAACTCCTTTAGATTTAATCTGCTGGATGAGAAAACTCATGCTGTAGCCCAGCCCCCATGATGGGTGCTTTCTTGTTCCCCCCAGCAGGTAGGTGAGCTTGCAATCCAATTCTGGGAAAAGAAAGTCAGTTTTTCCACCAACCTGCAGCCTCAGCTGTGCTCTTTGTAACCGTGCAGGATAAGGAGCTCCTATTTCTGCTGCTAAAGCATAATTCCCTGCTTCCCAGCACAAAGTCCTGCTCTAACACCCTTGCAGCACCCAAGTAAATTCCTGTAACACTCACGGCACATAACAGCCATATGGCCTAGTGCCACAATGTGCCAGCATTTACAAACGCTTGTTTACAACATAACTCACCTCAGAGCCCAGCAAACTCGTGGTGATGGAAATCTGTGCCATACCAATTTACTGAGCTTCAGTAAGGCTGCACGTAGAAAGGTTCTGGAGATTTTCCTCTCTGCCAGGCAGCCTTATTTACCTGCTGAGTAAAGGAGCTGGTGGAACACAGCACTGCCATGCTCCCTTCACCCCTTCTTTCCCATTTTGCAAATGCCCAGCAGCAATGTCCCTCCACACCATGCACAGTAAGTGTTCCATAGTGAACCAGCTAGAGATAATGCACGTTGCTGAAGATGCTATAGCCCTTCAGAAGAATCTATTCCCAAGCACATTAACTGATGTGCACTGCACACGTATTTAACAAAATTCTTTATTGACATTTCAAAATGTAAAAAAACAAACCAAAACAAAAACCAAAAAAACCCCCAAAACCATAGATGCCAATTATTAAATAATTTCAGGAGAATGTCAAAAGCACAGCTCTGGCCTGCGGAGAAGACTGGGGTGGCGAGGGAACTGTCTGGAGTTGGAACTGCATGGAGCCAGCACAGAACTGACCACCAGTGAAGGAACACTGAAACAAAGAAGAAACAGGTCCAAAATGCTGGACAGACATTCCCAACTCATCCTAAGACAGCAAGGCTATGCAGTGGCACTGGGTGCTGCAACAGCAATTTTCAAGTGAGCGCTACTTGCTGCATGTACCAGCTCACATCAACCCTGAGCTAGAGAACTCGGGAGTCCTCCTGAGTCTCCGTGCTGGGCATCTGCATCTACCTCTGAACTTTAAACCAACAGTGCCTGCTTCCCTGGAGGATTTTAAAGGATCTTGACAAATAATTGATTTAGCTGTCTGAAGGTGGGAAAGAAAAATGCCGTTCTTGTCTACAGGCAGCTAAGAGGCAGCAGGGTGCAGAAAGGCAGTTCGTAAGACCTGGCTGGAAAGTGAGCAAAGTGGCACTAGCCTCATACCTAGAAATTGAGGCTAGTGCCACTTGAGGCAGTTGAGTGAACTTGAGGCTTACAGTCTCAAGTTGGATGTTGGCTAAACAACATGTACTGCAAACAGAAATGATCAACAAGTCTGGACCTGAGGACAACCCTAAAGGGGCTATCAATGCCACCAGAATTACCAGGGAAATGAAAGACAACACTCCCTGTTGTCACTTCATCAAATAAGAGGAGCTCCCAAGATTCTGGAGCACTGCAGATCTGAAAGACTTTATTATGGAAGTGGGAACGTGTCTTCATGGGCAATTCCAGATGTCTTTGGAAATCATTTAATGGAAGGACAAAAATTGTTGGGATTTGCTTTTGTCGGTGCCTGCCTGCCTGCTGAAATTTGAAAAATCAGCAACCAAAAGGCTAATACAGCAGATTTTTGACAAGCTGCAGCCCGACACATTGAAATCTAGACAGATTTGTTTAAATGCTTGTGTTTTTTACAGTGAAGTGGGCAGACAAATGGAAACAGAATACTGTACGTTAGCCTGAGCTCTGTCTTGAGCCTATTGTTTTAACCAAAATGAAGCCTGAATAATAGTAAATGCTGGAAACATCTCCCTTCAGATAAGGACAGTAATTTCTTTGAGTTAAGGTAAGACTATGTAACATGATAACTCCTTGGCCCTTCAGTGGTGGCAATACCATGGCCATATTGAGCAAGGAGGCTCAAGTCATTTCTGTCTCCTCTTTTCTTGATCCCTGCCTTCCCTACACATGGATGCTCTGCTTTCCACAGCAATCAGAGTTCACCAACCTGCACGTCAAAATGAAGGCCCCTACCCCCTAGACTGGCTGGGTAATAACAGCTGGATTCCTGCTGCAGTTCCCTTTCATCCACTGGTTTCTAAAGCTGGGCTTTCAAGGCAGCCTAACCTCATCCAAGGCAGAGCTCCCACAACCCCTTCTTCCCCGTGATTGCAGCTGCAAAATCTTACCCCTCTAGTGCTGCCTTTGGTGTCTGTGTAGCTCAGAGGGAAGCCAGTTCAGGGAGTTTTGCTGGCAAAAAACTACTGCTGTTAAAGAAGCATTTTCTGGTGTTTCACTGAGCTGAGTCAGCGCTCTGCAGACTCAAATGAATGTGAAAATAAGTCAAGAGAAAAGCAAGGAGCACAGCAGCCCAGAGGAGTTCAATTGCACTGAGTGCCTGCGAAGACTGAGACTCACCACATTTCTGTTTCATTGCTTTACATTTCCCCACACTGAGAGATCACAACTGGCAGCTTGGGTTTGTTATTTGGACCTGTAGGCACATTCTGGGGACAAACAAATATATAACATTAAACCTTACAAAAGCACAGCAAATCCAGTGAGTGACAGGTACTTGAAGACTGGCTAAGAGATGTCTGTACAACATGAGGAAAGGGGAAATCTAGACACAGCTCTGAGTAACCTATAAGCACCATTACGCATTTTGGCAACGGGTCTGGCCATAAGCCGGTGAACTCTCTCTCTGTGCACAGAGGTTTGGGATACAGACCAGACCCCGATCCTTTGGATGGGAGGGAAAGAACAGAGAAAAAACTGGAGAGCTCCTCATGAGATACAGCAGGCATCATGTCACTTGAAGCCGCTCTGGCTTAAATCTTTAAAGTTACTATTACAGCTGCAACACACAATGCAAACTTGTATTTGTACAGAAGGGCAAATTCAAATAAGAGAGAGTCACAAAGCAGCCCTCATTCTGAACCTCTCATTCTGCTGGACCTAACTGCTCTTTCATGAGTCTCCTTACTTCCTTTCATTTGCCCCTCGCTGCAGCAATGCACAAAGCAGGCACATCACAACCCTTCCGTCAGTGCTTCTGCCGAAGAGGGCTAGCAACACATAGATTATATCATGCTATACATTTTTTTTTGCATGTGACCTTTTCTCAAGGCCTAACAGTTGTTAGCTCTGTGTTCACCCCACTTTTTAGGTGTAGATCAGAGGCCCCTGTGCACATTATCTCATGCATGTGCCATGAATTTAATGTCAGCTGCCTTGAAGAAGTCACTGCTATTTGTCAAACTTACTCATTATCCTGCCATGACACTCAGTCACATTTGTAGCAACCACCACCCCTGAGCATATTCATCTTCAGCTTCTCGAAGCCCATCAGAAGATTAGTTTAATTTTTCTTATTAAACATGCTGATTATGGATCAGCAGAACTGATGATTTTGCATCCACTGAATAATCCCATGCAGTGGCACAGAAGTGATCTGCTTTACACTCTTGTCTGAGTTGCTGATGGAACAGCTTTTCAATTCAGCTTCCTGAACAAATGCAAAGCATTGCAAATAAAGCCACAAGAACACAATCCCTGCTCAAAGACTAACCAGCAACCACGACAGCATAGCGTTTCTAAAGTCAATTTATATGACAGCCTTTGCCTCAACAGATTTCCTGCTAATTTATAATGATGACAACCAATAATACCAGTCATCAACACTGGTATTCCCTGGTATCCTGTGAGCAGACAGTAAGAGAGAACAAAACAACCCTTGATAATCCTTTACATGACTTTCCAATATGAGCATTCACAGAGAAATAGGCAAATTCAACTTACTTCAATTTTTCTCATGACCAACAGCCCATCGACAATTTTACCTAGAATAAGAAAATGTATCCACTTCAATATGGCCAGTTTTACCTTTGCTCCCCACCCCTCACCACAGGAACATGTGTTTTAGTTCCTCCTGAAGAGTCTTGTGCAGTGTACAGCTACTGGGCACTTCAGGGTTTGTTACCAATCTCTAAACTGATACAGGAAACAATCCCTCTTAAAACATTTTCCACATTCAAAACAGCTTAAGTGCATTTTCCTACTGAAAGGATGGTATGTGTAGAAATCTAAGTTTTGAGATTCCAGCTGTGCTAAAATACAGCATCACCTACCTCTCTATCAACACCACCTTTGTAACAATGCAAAACCAGCAATGAACGATACCAGTGTTACTCAAGAACTAGAAGTAGTAAGTAGGACACCAGGTTAAAGGCTGGCCTTGAAATCCTACAGCTTGAGTGGCGGTACATGAGCTGTTAGCAGAAGTGGTTTCATAGAATTACTATCTAAAAACTCAGCTGAAAGCTCAGTCCTTTCTGACACTGGAGAGGAAAGGTATCCCTTCACTCATCTGTCCCTTCTGCACCGCCACAAGGACTTAGGTAGTAACACAATACATCAATTAAGGAACTGATCTGGATTAAAGCTAACCTGGGAAAAATATGTTTCATTTCACCAGTGATCCATCTCAGTACCTGGCTGCACAGCTACCTCCACTAGCACAAGTGAGGGGGGAAGAACAAGCAGTCCACAGCTGTTTATTTTAGCAGCTGCCGCCACAGGGAGCATCTGTGAGCTGGTACGCCAGGCCTCCACTGCAGGTACTCACCAAACACAACGTGTTTTCCATCCAACCAGTCACACTTGGAGCATGTGATGAAAAACTGACAGCCGTTGGTACTTGGACCACTGTTTGCCTGGGGGTTGAGAATGACATAATCCAAAAAGCGTACAATTTAAGATTTCCCAAAACTGAAGGCAGATGCATCTCACACAGGAAAGAGCTGTTGCTCTAGATCTAGACTAGCTTATTTGTAGCTTATTGCTACACAAACCAAAGGAAGCAAGATACACACCTGGAGGAGAGTACCCTGTCCTGGGACCTGGCAAGCCACCAAGTCTGGTCATGCCAGTGTGCACACGAGCCACAGCACCAACTTTTTATTATATTTCTATGAAAGCATGTTCAGCACAAGACTGTGCTGACATTTGGGATTTAGAGCATGCTCTTGAAAAAAGGCTGAACTTTTTGGTGATAAGTACTTCTGGCTGCAGTATTGTCCTGGGAAAAATGAAAAGCCAGGAACCAGGGCAGAATAAAAAATGCAGGTGATTTCAGCTGTTTGGAAGGTATCCTCAGAATAATAATAAAAAAGCAAAACAAAAAAAGAAAACCAAAACAAAACAAAAAAGAAACAGTCTGTTGTGAGGATCAGGATGAGAAAGGTAATGATCATATTGGCACAGGGCTCACAAGAACAGTGTGATGCAGACGTGAAATTCCATCCATGACTGAGTGCAACACCCAGAACATTTGTGCTCTGCTAAGAAAACATCTCTGCCACACTTAAGTCCGTTTCAATTTTTCAGAGCTCCATTGACAACCAATACTAAATGATACTAAAGCATGTTTCTGTGCCGACAAGTGAATTGGGCAAGTTTTGCAGCTGCACGACTGTACAGGACACGGTCACATTGGATTTTTACTTATCGTTAGCCAGAGCCAGCTCTGGGGGGGATCCAGCTGGGATGGACCATGGTCTGGCCCAGCAGAACGACTCCAGAGCCACGCCACTTTAGCACAAAGCTGGCAATACCAGTGTGGATCCCTTCTCCCACACCACGGTACACTGGTTGCTTCACTGTGTCGCGACACCTGGGTTTGGACCATGTTTTGAACAGGGTGAATAACTAATCCGCGTGGTAAATGCTCTTAGCCAGTGGTTTTAAGGGCAGGGCAGCTGAAAGAGCTGGGTAAGAAGCAGCTGTGGATAGGAACACTGAATCACTGGCCTCACTTGCTTTCTATTGCAAAAGACAGTGTATTGTTCTTACCAGCCAACATGCAATGGTTGCAGTTTTTCCTACAATGCTGAACAGGAAGCATATGTTATAAAAGATACCATGGTAACACTGCTATGGCTTTGAAACTCCCAAATCTCTTTGTTTCATCCTTGCTGAGGTCAGTGTTTGATAACAGTATCAGGGAAGAAAACACCACCACTCACCACCATGCGAAAACTGTAAGAATCGAGCTATTTGAAAGCTGATCAAAGCCTGCCCCAGCACTTCGACAGGTAAAAAAGAAAGGATGCTGCAGGATCAGGACTTCTGTGTTACTCAACACATTAACCCATGACTAGCGTTCTGACTAGTAGTTATAAAACAAGTGTTTCAGACCTCGTATCCAATGGTGGTGATTTCTGTTGTCTGGCAAATAACCGATACACTTCAGAAATGGGCACAGAGAATGTACCAAAAGCTTTTTAGTCTTATAAAGTCATTATTTTACACTCACCATAGAGAGCAACCCAGGAGCAGAGTGTTTCAGCTTGAAGTTTTCATCTGCAAAAGGACCCCTATATATACTGGCTACTCCAGTGCCGTCTCCCTGCGCAAGAGAGGTGCCCAGTCAGCCACAGCATTTGCTACAGAACAACTCCATTTAAAAATGAAATTTAAAATCCCCAAGCAAAAGGACAGGGTTAACTCAGCCCAGAATGGATGCTACACTGCCATTTGTATACACCAGCAGTGAACACACTCAGTGTTTAATTTCCGAAGAGGATCAGCAACTGGTTTCTAACTACAGTATATCATTTGCCATCTATATATTGACAGAAACCCATGGAGATGCTAAGCATTAAGTCCAAGCCTCCCAGAGTCAGATGGAGTCTATCGATTGCTTGGTATGGACCCACCTGGACTTGGCAGGGAAAAGGGAGGGGTCACCCAAATATGGGCTGGTGTGACAAGGATAGCAGAAGTGGTGGTGTGGAAAAAGTCGGCTGATGGTATGCTTACTTATCTCACCTTATTTTCTGTGACTTTACTGGAAACAGGGAAAGCAAGGACAGTTTTTAAAATACAGAGCTTCTAATTTCTGCTGTACTTTCTACCAAGTCAAGACATCTTGTAATTAACTACAAGCCCTAGCACTCAGATCTCAAGACACTTCTAAATTAAAGCAGCATGGCCCGTAAGAGCTGCAGATTGCAAGCTTTGCTCACAAATTTATAACTTTGCAGAAGCCTGACACATGGTTCAGGTAAGGCATGTAACCCGTGGGACTGCTGAAGGGCTACCCTGCCCTTTGGTCCAGCATTGCAGAGACACCCCCGTATGATGCCAAAAGGACTGAGCAGGGACCCTTCAAGAGAATGGCCTTACAGATGCTGCAGTGAGGAACCCTTCAGGGAAGGCTGCAGAAGCAACACAAACAGGTATCCCTGGCAGAGTCAGTTAAATTTACCATTCTGACAGTAATTTCCCTGTGTTGATTTCTCATTTCTATGTCCCTTCAGCCACATTTCTTCTGCCTTGTTGCAACCTGTCTCCCTTCACTGCCTTTCTACTTAACATATATGTTCTTTATTAGGCCAAACTTAGCAAGAAAATAAGATGCCAATAATGTACCCTGTGCAGCTCCACATCTTTTGCTCTGCTTGCCTGGCCCTTGCTTCTCTTCCTCCTATTCTCTGTGGTTTACTTAAACTGTCAGCTCTGAAGCAGGAATATATACCCCATCTTAGTAGTGGTCAGTGTGACGGTTCTTGCACCCCAAGTGGCTTGTAGTAAGCGTAATTTATAAGTTACAAATACTGGTGCTAACTGTAAAGCTTGTTGAGCTTCAGTGGAAGTAATAAACCCACTGGAACATTTGAGCAGCATCACCGTTGGCAACTACCTAAAAGTCTGGTGTGGCTGAGCCACTGCTCTGTGGTCAGTTCCCTCAGTGACTTTCATACAATTAAGTTGTATACATTTTGTATTAAAGAAGATTTATCACCTCCTTCATAGTTTTAAACACTTCCAGAAATTAAATAATTTCACTGAGTCCTAGGACAGTGAAGAGACCCTGTGGTCCTCCAGGCTTCCTCATATACTCTGCTTATCCCCAAGTCAGAGCACGACCACCACTGTGGACACAAAGTCTTTTCTATTTTAAGACAATTCACTAACAAACAGTTAGTTTTTATTTAAACTATCCCTTGCACTAGATACTTGGTTCTGTACCTAGGGTCTCTCTCCACAAGGCTAATAGAAATTCACAGGGTTTCTTGTCTGGGGGGACAGAAGTGGGAAGGACAACAGGGTAAAAATAAAAATGAATCTGCAAGTTTGAAACGCCTCTAGCTGTACTGCTGTTCTTTTTTTAAGAGAGGAAATATTTCAAGAAGGAGAAGGCATATTCAGCCAAAACTCCAGATTTGGTTTCAAGTACATTACAGTCTGTTGCAGTAAGATGGCAGCAATGCTAGCAGGAAACCTTCAGTTACTACTGGGTACCTCAAAAGAGAGCCAACAGATCCCACAAATCAGCACAGACCCTTGGGAACAGTTGCATAATACATCATGTAGGAAAAATACAAAAGGAATACAGAAGTACATACGTTTACGAAGTCACCTCCTTGGATCATGAAATCCTTTATTACCCTAAAGAAGTAAAACAGTATTTAGTTCTCAGCAGACAAATGCCTCATGAAGCTTAGCACGTGGCAAAAAGGAGTTCTGCCTCACTACACAATCATTATCAAGGTATGTGAATGCTACGGCCTAAAATCTACAACAAATATTAACTACTGGTTGCTATCAGGTAATTTGGGACCCATTGCTGTTTGACCAGGAAAAGGGATTAGGTGACAGATGCCAGAAAATGATCTCCAACCTGGCACACCATGAATGGGGGATCCTTCCCAGTGACCTCAGTGTACACATCTGAGAGCACCCCCAAATCCCCCAAGTCTACAGAAGGACGATATTAGCCATGACCTACAGATGCCTCCCAAACCAATGCTGCCTTGAGGCAGGTCTCAAAACCACATCTGGATCAGACGGCTATTTCAGCGCCTAAACAAAAGCAGATGAAATACCTGTGGAAAGTGCTTCCTTTATAACCTATAGGGACACCATCCTTCCTGCACGGAAATAAAAAGGAAAATCATTGCAACTTAATGGATATCCCACACAAAACCCTTCCAGGAATTCAGAGTCCCAACGGGTTGCCCTATACTTTAGTAGTACAACGAAGTGCTGCAGCCTGGCTCTCAGCTGGTGCCATCAGAGGCAAAGGAAAAGCTTGAGTGGGATCTGCACATTAAATGACAGGGTTCCCTACAACACCCAAACCTTCATCTTTAAGGGATCCCACTGCAATTTGCAGAATAAGCAGGTGGGGTTTGCAGACAGACAGGGCTTTTCACAGCAACTCAAGCACGAACAAAGCCATGCCCAAAAGGGAAAGTCTGCCATCTCTGTGACCGAGCCCGTCACAATTTCATCAGAACAGTTTCCTGTAACTCTTTCATTTTGTACTGGTATAGTAAGAAAATCTTCCAAGTAAGAAATAGTAAGAAATTCATCCTGCTCACCCAGCCCCGTTTCTCTGAGTAGGCTACTTAAAAGGACCCTGTAACCCACTTACCTGAATTCACCTGTACAAAACTGCCTGGAAGACAAAAAAATAGAGCAGAGCGTGAGGCACATCTGGACTCTGAGGATACAGAGGGCTGCATTCAGTGAACATACACCGACTGTTGCGCAGGACTTGCATTGCTGCATTGGGGATGTCCCCAGTGAAATGGGAACTGGCAGTTACTTCTCCCCATTTCCATTTCAGAACAGACTTTTGCGCTTTCTGCAGTTGAGGAGGTCAGATACTTAACACTGGGGTAGTAAGGAATGGTGAACGTGGAGCAGGCACCGTGTTTCACAGAGAACAAGGTATATCTATCTCTCCTGTGGAAGGGGGATGTCCAATTGTACATCCTTCAGTCAGTGACCAGAGAACTGGGTGGTAAGACGACTTCCACCATGCCATTAAGGTACGACCTTTTATGAATGCGCCGAGCATCTAAAAAGCTCCACAGAAAGAGCAGAGCAGGGGACTGGTGGGCTTCCCCAAGGAATCAGGATGCTGCACCGCCACATCTCTCTGGGAAGAGAGAGGAGCAAAGGAGATGCGCTGGATCTGGGGGGCAAACAGAGACACTCCTGCACCCAAAAGCCCTCGCAGCCCCAGTCCAGGCTGAGCTCAGGAACGCCAGCGGCTCCTTACCTGAAGTTCTCTGCTGTTTTGGGTACAACATCAGCGAACAGCTCGATCTTCATGCGGCCGACCTCCTGGGGAGACAGGGGCCCGATGAGCCCTCTGGGCCCCACTCCCACCCACCCGTCTCCCCACCCGGGGAGCTCCCACACCCCCAACCTCCTGCCGCCCCCCCCAAGCCCTGCGAGCCCCCTCCCCACACAACCCTGCACCTCTGCACCCCCGCAGCGAACCCCTCAGCCCCGCTCCCGCTGCACCCCCCCCCCCCCCCGCGCTCCTACACCCACCTGCCCGCCGATAGTGACATCGAAAAAGACCACGGGATTGTTGGGGTTGGACGCGAGCACCGCCATTGCGGCCGCCTCTCCCGGAAGCGGAAGCGGCGGCGGGCCCGGGGCGGGGCCCGGGCCGGAAGCGCTTTGGCTGCGGGCCCAGCCGTGCCCAGAGCCGGCCCTGCGGCCCTCACCGGCCTGTGGCGCCGGGGGGGGTCAGGAGACACCTCCGAGGGGCTTACGAGAGCGGCGTTACCCTGCTTGTGCGGGGGTGTCCTGCACCCCCCATGGACAGCCCCAAACTCCTGCTGCGGCAGCTTCCACATAACGAATACAAACAACACTGGGTTTTGTATGCAAGTAATCGACACTCCGCAAGCGTGCAGAGAGAGGGTTCCAATGTCCGTGAGAGGAGAACAATCACCACACGGACTTCTGGGGTTCAACAACGGCCCCAGACCCTAAACAGGGCTTAAGGACAACCCGGAACGCTCAGTCCCTCCCCTAATGACAGGTCAGGGCTCTCAACCTCGAGGAACGCCTTCGGGCAGCGTCCCAAGCCGCGGGAACCCCACGGAGTTTCCGTGGGCCGTGTCCCGACCCAAGGGGAGAGCCCTTCCCTGCAGCACGCTGCTGCGGGCAGGACGAGCCCCAAATGGCTCCCCCAGGGACTCCATTTAAACCTATTTGGCTCCAGCTGCACTTCCAAAACCTTTTTTTCCCATCTGAGACTCTCTTTTGTGTCTTTGCTGAAATTCAACATTAGATGCTTGATTGGAGTTTGTCTTCTCGGTCTCCCCTCAGGCTGCGCTTTACAAAACTCACCTCCAAACAATTCCAAATAACCTTTCCCCAGGGCACGCGGTCCCCTGCAGCTAGTGGTTCTCTGCTTGTGTGCCTTTTGAGCAAAAACTCCTGAAATTTCAAGTATCTTTGAGGTTTTTTTGTTTCCGGCTTGACTTTTTTTCACCCTGCAAGTCTCCTGACCTGGGTTCTGTGGCAAGAAAGGCACCGTGTTTGTGTCTGCTCGGGTGAGGTTCAGCCTTGGTTGTGCACGACTCTCTGGGTCTCCCTTTGGAGAGGGCAGTGGGTGGATGGGGGCAGCCCCCCAGATATCCTCTGTGACACGGGCCATGGTCATCTAGAGAAGAGAAGGGGCCGCAGAGACCTTACTACAGCCTTTTGATACTTAAAGGGGGCTCCTAAGAAAGATGGAGACAAACTTTTTAGCAGCAAGGCCTGTAGCAATGGGACACGGGCCTGTAGCTTTAAACTAAGGGAAGGTAGATTCAGACTAGATGTCAAGAAGAAATGTTCTGCAACACGCATGGTGCGAGCCTGGCACAGGTTGCCCAGAGAGGTGGTGGATCCCCCCTGCCTGGAAAGATTCCAGGTCAGGCTGGAGGGGGCTCTGGGCAACCTGATCCCAGCTGTAGGTGTCCCAGCTCCTTGCAGGGGGTTGGACTCGATGGCCTGTAAAGGTCCCTTCCCACCCAAGCAGTTCTGGGATTCCAGGATGTCCCCAGAGCCCCCAGAAGGCCTTGAGGGGCACAGACAGACACATCCAGGGGAGTGTGGGTGCACCAGAAGGAACACTGAGCGGCCCGGGCTGTCCCGAACGACACATCGTGGTGACTGGGATGCCCCTAAAAGTGCACGGAGAAATCCAGGGTGCCCTGCAAAGAAGACAGTGGGGATAGGCAAGGACACGGTAAGGCTCACCTGTGGTGAATTCTCGTGCCCGTGCGCAGCTTGGTCTCATGTCAGTGACGGAGCCAGTATCAGACGCCAATATGGTGTGCAGAAAGTGCTCGTTTATTAAGCCTCAGTGATACATATTTATCTTATTCTGTGTTCCGTACACGCGCCGAGCATGCATACTAAATTATAATTATAGGCTACTAATTACGTATGTTAGTTTGTGATTGGTGGTGCAGGCCGATCACTTGCTGTTCACGCGCCTTAGCAGATTGGCTGCTCTTTTTCCCGAGTCCGTTGCCAGCTTCTTCTCTAAATGTTGAACCATCACTTTTTGTTTCCAAATATTGAACCATCACTTTGTTTCCTTGTGTCCTTGGTTGCCTTGGTGACTCTTATCATAGCTCCTGATATGGCCGCTGGGCCACATAAACCCCCACACTTCCCCCTTTCCCTATAATTGAAAAGATACGATTTATACAACGAAAGAGGCAACTAAACATGAGAAGGGCACGTAAGAGAAAAAGGAACAAACGGAGGCCTTCTTTGATTAGCTGGCTAAGCCAGGGTCCAAGACCCCAGCCCATGAAGAAGCTGTCAAATGGTGAGGCGCCTTCTTGAATGTGGTTGATATTTTCCTTTAGCTGAGCTAGCTGCTTGTGGATACTTACATGATAAGTTCATGCAGCACATGCCTTCGAACTCCTGGCATCCATGTCCCTGAGCTAATAGGAGGAAATCAATAGCAGCTCTGTTCTGCAAGACTGCATGGTTAATAGAGGTGACATCGTTTAAGAGCTGTTCAAGCACAGCTGAGGTGATGTTGCTTTGCTTTACAGACCAGCAGGCTAGGTGTCTTAACTGATTTAAAGCATGTCCCGCTGCAGCACCTGGGATAAGTATAGCTAAGGCTGCATCGACAGCTTTTGAATTTAGTTTAACATCATCATCACAGTTGGAAGCAAAAGCGTGTAAAGAGCGTTTGACTTGAGTCACGTTAAGCAAAAGAAATTCTTGAAAATGTGGAGCAAACATGGTCAATTGTCCCAGATAACATGGTCCTCCAATAATGCCTGCTGGGATACCCTGCCAAGCATGACTGCCACATGTAAGAAATATATCAGGGGGTAGTACTTTTGCATCACGAGGGGATGGTACCAGACTGTGAATATTGCACTTTGGCCAATCTGTGTGTGTAGCATTAATTTGAGAAGTTCCATTCGGACCTATGTAACGTATTTACTTGAGACCGTTGTTGATGTGTCCCCATTCTCCGAACTTTATATAGCCAGAATGGTTAAAGCATTGGGCACTGGGGCTAATGGTAGTGCATATGGCATTGGGATTGGATGATTGATTCCCAATGTGTGACACATTAGTAGGAGCACCAGGTGCGAAGCTACTCATGATATCTAAAGCAGGAATAGCAATTGGGCTTGTTATGTTAAGTGCTTGAATTAGGGCGGCCTGAATGGAGGACCCTGATATGACCGGCCAATAGTCTGAACAATTGAGAAGATTTTGCCAATGACTAGAGTTATAACAGATGTTGCCTATATATCCTGCAAAATCAGTGTAATTAGCAATGAGCCACTTTGCTAAAGTGTCATTGTCTTCCCAAGTGGTCGGAACGCCAATCAAACAGGTCCTGAAAGGATCACCTACAGTTTGCAAGCTTAGGCAGAAATCCATATTCCCTGTTTGGTTTGCCCATGTTACCCAGACATTTTTTCGAGGATCTATGCGCGTGATTATTGCTAAAGCAACTGTTACACATGACAAGAGTATTAGTAACAAGGATTTGGATGCCATTGCCAGTGTTGCAAAGCCTGCTCCCAATTATTGGCTTCGATATTCTGAAAATGTGGCAGTCCTAGGTGTTTCCCGCACCAGACTCCCAATACTTACTGTTGCAAAAGAATTTGGTTTAAAATTATCTGATTGGTTTCAAAGAATTTACAATGTATTGTGGCACATGGCGTCAAATCTCCTATTAATCCTGAAATTTCTGTCTCAATTACCAGCCTTTCTAACTCAGTACAGGGTAGGCCTAATGCTGTGGCTTCAACTTGACAGGTGAGGTCGAAGTCTGCTTCTACCCAGCCTTATTCCTGGTGTAGTCTTCGCCATCTGATTCTTGGCTCTTCTGGGTAGTCTCTGGAACGGGTGCTGTAATAGGATCATTGCATGAAGTATGAATGTCAGGTTTCATCCATTTAGAGGGTATCCACTGTGGTTCTTTCCCCTGTGTTGAAACACAAGCATATCCTCGACCATATGTTAATAGCAAATATCCTGATTCCCACAGTTGTGTTTTGGGGTTCCATACTTTTACCTGAGGAGGTTTATTTGGTGTGGGTTCTGTGAGTGCATGTCTTTGTGCTGCAGGGGTATCATCGCGCGCCAAGAGCCAGTCGAGCACAAATAGAGTTTTATTCAGAAGTTCTTGGGGCAACAGGTCCTTTTCCCCCTCTTTCAGTAATGTAAGATACCGTTTTAATGTGGCGTGTTTTCGTTCCACAATGCTCTGGCTTGTGGAATTATAAGGGATGCCTAGTGTGTGTAGGATGGACCGTGTCATACAGAACTGTGATACTTTATTAGAGAGGTAAGCTGGGCCATTGTCTGTACGGGTGGTAGCCGGCTTACCCATGGCTGCAATAGCAGCTTGCCAATGGGCTAGAACATGCTTGGCTGATGCCGTGCTGTGTGCCGTGGCCCATGTGAAACCCGAATCGGTGTCTACCGAAACATGGATATATTTATAGCGACCGAAAGGGGAGTATTCTGTGACATCTGTTTGCCAGAGGGCGTTTGGCTGTAAACCTCTAGGGTTTACCCCCTCACCCAAAGCAGGAATTCTGGTGCACCCAGGACACATGGCGATTATATCACGAGCTACCTGTAGGGGAATATGGAATTGTTTGACAAGCGATTTAGCAGGCTGGTGAAAAAATTTATGTGATGTCTCAGCTTGAGCCCTGAGGTTTACCTGAGCAGAAGAGACCAATTTATCTGCCTCCGCCTTGCCATGTGTCAGATATCTGGGGGTGTTAGTGTGGCTTTGAATATGCATGATATAGAAAGGTGATGATCGAGCATTAATCAAATTCCACAGAGTGAACAATTCCTGAAATAAAATTTTGTTATCAATATATTTTAGAACTGCACGGTGTAAACGAAGAACCAGTAATGCTACGTATTTGGAATCTGTGACAATGTTAATAGGTTGAGAGTGTAATTGTAGTGCTACTCTGACTGCCTGTAATTCCAATACTTGCACTGAACCTTGACCACATTCACGATGCGTCTTTTGCTGTTGAGTTGTTGGATCCGTCCACCAGATGCCTCCCTGACCTGAACGACTGCTGGCATCTGTGAAAACTGTGAGGGCTTGTAATGGTCTGGAAGAGACAATAGGGGTAGGCTCAAAGAGCACTTGTGAAGTGAACAGGTCATAAGGAGGGTAGTGGGAACTGAGTTGAGAGGCACTGTAGGTAACAGCTAGCGCTAGGGTAGAATCAGTCTGTAAGGCTAGCTGTAATACGTCTTCTGACATAGGGATGTAAATGGTGTGGAAGTAATCACCAGACAGGGTAAGGAGCCTCTGGGTGGCTCTACTAATGCATTCTCCTATCAAAGTGAACCGGGTAGTGATTGTTGTTTTACAGGTATGGGGTAAAAAGACCCACTCAATTATTTGGGGAGTTTTCTGGCCTTCATTAGTTTGAAAAATAATACCATATACCTCCTGGTGAATACTGATAATGGCAAGGTGAACTGGTCGCTCAAGCAGTACACGAGATGCGAACTTTTGTGCTATGTCATTTCCCAGCTGCTGTAGGTCCTCTCGATGGAGGTACCTTCCTTGTGTTGCAGCAGTGCACAGAGAGGCTCTAGCTGAGTGTTGGAGATGCCTATTAATGGTCGCACCCATTGGAGTGATCCAACTAATTGTTGAACTTCATGGAGGGTGGTAAATGTTGCAGGTA